TTAAGAAATAAAACATATTTTAATATCATGATTAGTCTACGATTTTTGTTTTCTTATTTAAAGGCAATATTAGAATGTTCTATCCAACATGTTATGTATATAAAATTGCTTCCAATGATGAATCATCTCCAAGTAATGAAACAACTCCTTCAAATAAAAAAACTGAATTATCTTCAACAAAAAAATCTAAAATTCCAACAACATCAAATATTCCACCAGCACCAACATCATCGACAATAAATACACCATTAGATTTAATATCAAATAATAATAAAAATGAAAATATTCTTATAAAAAATCTTGCTAATCAAATATTAATTAATGCTCAAAGAAATAATTGCATTGATCTTGATAAAAAGTATGTATATATATTTATTTATAAATGAACTTTTTTATATTTATTTCTTTTTTTTGAAGACAAGAAAATAAATGCTTATCAATTAGTGATCCAATAAATCGTCGTACATGTCGATGTCATCAATGTTTAACACCAAATACTCGTTTATCAACATCTATTCCATTTCATCGCCGTCCTCGTATAACTCCGCCCGTTCTATCTGATCCGTCCTCAATTCGTACAAAATCCGAACCTATTAAAACTGAAAATCAATCTGAATCCATTGAAAATACAAATACATTAACACAAAATGATCCTTTAACATCTCAATCAACATCCTCGCCAATAGTTAATAATCCAACTCCATCAAATCAACAAACAATCAATGATAAAACAACAGAATGGACAGCAACAACACCCAATAGTGTTAGTATGAGTGGTCCACCATCAGTACTTGCTCCAATAACAAATTTAAATTCTATTCAAACAAATTCTCCTACACCAGTTTCAACATCATCATCATCAAGAGGTTTAAAACGTTCAGCTACAGTTGCATTTGATGATTTATCAATTGTTGAAGATGATGAAAGAGAACATCATAAACAAACATATGATTTTCATCGAACAGATACATTTTTACAATTACCATTAAAACGTTTTCGTTCTGATACAAATTCAATAATAAATAGTATACAATCAACATTAACAATAAATAATACATCAACATTAACAACAACTGATCATCTCTATCGTCATGGTCAACCAACTCCACCGAGTCCTAGTCATTTATTACCTAGAGTAGATCCATATGATTTTGATGATGATGAAGATTCAACATCTCGAACAAGTTATCCTCCATCAACTCCAACAAATACTCGTCAAAATCAATCATCTTCATATACAATAGATGGACCATCTATGGCAGATCTTGATACAATTATTGATTCACATGATATAAATGACAATAAAACTACAAATTCCAATGTTCTTTCACATATTCTTTCAAATGGTGGTGTTAAATCACCTATGCGTAAAGACAATTCACTTGTATATTCATTACCACCACCACCACCACCTCCTACAAATTTATTAAATACGAATGGCAATTCATTTCCTATTAATAAATCACTTAACGGAGGTTAGTCTTTCAAAAAATAAGAAAAGAATTTATTTCCTTGATATATAGTTACTAGTGTGGAGTATAAGAAAATGAGAATCAGTCGATCAAGAATTCCGTCGTTGACGTTTCTATTTATTATTTTTTAATTTAGAGAATTTGTAAAAATTTTTACTAGAACAAAATGACATATAAGTCAAAAATTATTAAAATAGAAAAAAGAATCTTAGATTTCATTCTCTGGATTTATGTGTAACCTGAGACTTATTATTTTTCCTTTCAAGGTTACTATAATTTGAGAAATGAGATTAAAAAAAATTGTTTACTTTCTGAACTAATGTAGAAGACTAAAAACAAAGATTGCAGTTTATATTTACTTATAATTAAAGTATCAAAGTATAGTCTGTTTGTAATCGATTAAATGAATTACTCTGGGTAATCTATTTATTATTAGTCTTCAAAACTTTAGTTATATGTAAATGTCATTGATCATGAATTAGAAAACATGCATGAGATTATTCAATCAAGTGAAAATATATCAGTCTAATTTAATATTATATTACTTAATCAAAAGTAAATCGAATAATGATATATCATATATATATATTTATTTATTTATACTTTGTACAGACATAATAGATAACATAACGAAGATATCATAGGGAAATAGAAATGATTGATTGACAAGTTAATTGGAGATTCATAGAGTCAGAAAAATGTCATATCTATTAATCGATATTGATTTCAGTTATGATTTATTTGATTTGTTTTCCTTAATAAAAATGAATTGTTTTCTTTTCTTTTTTTTATAGTTTTTCATGAAATGGAACAAATTTACAATACTCCACCTGGTTCATCTTCATCTGAAAAACTTCAAGCATTACATTCTCCCTATGCTATTATGGTTGATAGTGTGAGTAGCGCTGCAACAACATTTGATATGCTCAATCAATTTAGTCAAGAATCAATTATAGCTCCATTTGAATCTATAACTGTTGAAGATCATTCATCCTATCATCCATTAAAAAAAACTCTTTTAACTAAATCAAATAAACGTTATGAACCATCAAAATCATTTTCTATAGCAATATCATCACATCATAAACCATTAAGACATTGGAAACGAACATTAACAACAAATGATTATTCAGCCAGTCCATTTAATAGTCAACAAATTCTTCGTCAACAACATACACCACGTTCTACTGATATGCGTAATACATCAATGTCTATATCAAATGTTCCAACACCAACATTATATTCACCTATGAATAATAATCCATCAATACGTTCAAATGATTTACAATCATCACCATTTCCAATACGATCTGTTGGTAGTGTACAAGCTATAAATAGTCCAACAACATATTCTCAACCAACATTAATTAATCAACCAGAAGTCGATTCATTATTATTTAATGTTTTACTTAATGATAGTATTTTAAATTTATTTCGTGATATGAATTTTGATTCATGTGTTTTATGTGCATGTACACCAAATGAATTAAATATTCGTGGGATTGATTCAACAATTTATCTTGAAAAACCACGAGATTTTCTTAAAACACCATCAACACCAACATCAGCTGGTGCCCAAAATCAACCATCACAATCACCATATCATCCACATATGTATTCCCATCAACAATCATCATATCATATGCATTCACATCCTCCAATGTATGCTCAACAACAACAACAACAGCAACAACAAGTCATTCCATCAACAAACAATAATACGAATAATAATGCTAATAATAATAATAACAATAACAATAATAATAATAATTTATGTTCCTGTGGTTTTTCTGCAGTTGTTAATTTACGTTTAAGTTATTTATCTGGTTTATTTTATGAAGATGAAGTTGAAATAACCGGAGTTAAAGCCGATTTAAAATATCGTACATCTAATGATCGTTTACCTGTTAATTTATTAGAATTAATTGAACGTAAAGAATGTTTACCATCACCATTTGATTATTTTATTAATAAAAATCTTCAAACATCATTAATAAATCGGAAAAATGATCAAGATGTTTCTCAAATATTAAAACAACCTGTACATCAATATGAAAATTGGGCGTGTCGAGCAGCAATTGAACAATCACGAAATATTGTAAATAGTTTAATCGGTGATGATCTTGATAAACATCACTGGTTACATCAATGGTCATATTCAACATGTAAGAATTCTATTCATCTGAAAAAAAAATTCCGAATAAAAATTTTTCTTTTTTTTAGCTCCACTTGATTCTGATCAACAATTAATAACTATGTTACGTTCATTACAACCTTTATTAGTTGAAGCATTAAAAAAACGAAATGTTAATGGTCTATGGAGTACAATAGATGGTCCATTAACATGGAAATCTTTTCATCAATTATTATATGTACAAAATCAACATGTACAACTTGAAGAACAAATAAGTGGACCACAACCTATTCCATATGTTCTTGCTGGTCTTGATCGTGAATGGGTTATGTTAGCACCATATAGTTTAAAATTTTGGGATAAATTATGTCTTGAACCATATTCAAAAGGCAAAGATATTGCATATGTATGTGTAGTACCAGATAATGATTATATATGTACAATGACAAAAACTTATTTTCGAGAATTATCTACACATTATGAATTATGTCGATTAGGTTTACATAGACCTTTATTAAAAGCATTTTCTGATCAAGGTCTTTTACGTATATCACAATCGAATAATGATTTATCACAACTTCCAAATGTTGATCAATGGTTTACTGATCATGAAACAACACATTCACTTGGAAAACGATTAAAACTTTATGCTCAAACAATCAAAGGACAACTTTGTAAGATAATTAACAAATTATTTCAAAAATCTATTTTTTTCTTCTTCGCTATTTTCTAGTTAATCTTCTTTCCACACAATCATTTGATAATACATTGTTAGAAGAAGGTACAACACGTCGTGATGTATTTCGTACTCCTAATGATGTTTCAAATCCATCATCTTCATATGATCTTCATACATCTAATAGTGATATAACAAATAGTGGTTATGCTCTTTCTCCTTCATCAACGTCAGCAACAGTAACATCAACAACAACAGCAGCAAATAATATATTAGCAAATAATATTTATACAACAGGATCCGTAACAAGTGATGCTCTTAGTTTATCATCAAATAATATCTCATCAATACCAAATGGTACATTTGTTAATGGTCATCAAGTTGATCCAGTTGATCTTCAAGCATTTGAATCATTTCATCAAGGACGAATATCAAATGATGATCAATTTTTCATTGTTATTTATCTTATTGATACATTTCGATATGAAATAACAGCAACATTAACTGATGAGAATGGAACTAATAATAATAACGATACTGATATTGATGATAGAATGGATGCTTATGTTAAAAAAGCTATCTTTCGTGCTTATATGGATCTTATTAAAGATTTACCAGATAAAACTTCAATTCGAGTTAATATCCAGGTTAATAACAAAACAAAAAAAAATTAAATAAAAGAAAAATATCTGTTCTTTTTTTTTCGTTTAGATTATACCATTTGAGTCAATAATTAGTCAACAAATTGAATCTGATTCTGAATTACGTTTAACTCAATTGAAACGTTTAGCATTTAATGTTTACGGACAATTGAAACGAACAATTTCTTATACAACACGAGCAAAATCATTGACTGGCTTTGGTCCAGCTGCATCGGAAGAAAAAATGCCAGCGAAAATTGTAAAAAGAAAATTTATTTATACTTTTTAATAAATGTTTTTTTGTTTAGGTTATGCAACTTTATACACCAGCTTATATTCTTTCGCCTAAATCAGATTTTCGTTTTAAAGCATTTGCTGATATAACCGAACAGACAAATATTAATGGAAGTATATTATTTTGTTCATATTGTTTATCGGATGATCAACGATATTTATTAGCATCATGCTCAGATGATAGAGGAGAATTATTAGAAACATGTTCAATTAATATAGAAGTGCCGGATAGGTAAATTGAAATTTAAAATTAGAAAAAAAGATTATCATTATAAATTTATATAGACATAGAAGAAAAGTACAACATGCTCGTCGAATTGGTTTACAAAAATTATGGGATTTTATAATTCGTGTTGTAACAAGTACAACAATGCCATGGAGAATTGTTATTGGAAGATTAGGAAGACTTGGACATGGAGAATTAAAAAGTATGATTAAATTTAAAAAGAAAAAAAAAGAAAAATAAACTTTTTATTTTAGGTTGGGGAATAATTTTATCGAAAAAAAATCTTGTACGTTGTGCAACATTAATACGTGATTCATGTTCAATGTGTCATATATTACGTTGTCATGATCAACCAGTTATTCTATCAGCATGTTTAATATCTATGGAAACACATCCATCATTAACTGTTCTACCTGAATCACTTGAACTTGGAGAAATGCGTGGAACACAAGCACCAAATGCAACTTCAACTACATTACAAAATGGTGGTCAAGTATTAGATGATATTTCTGTAACACATATTCTTACATTACCAACGTCAGCTTCTGTACAGGTAAGAAATACTATAATATTTATTAGAAAGATCATATTCTTAATCTTTGTCTTTTCTTTCTTCAGCATGTTCAAACAATGCCTAGACCGAATGATCATCGTTCAACTGGTGAAGGTGATGATGATTTATTTAGTAAATTATTTGAAGATCTTGATCAAGATGGTCCACCAAATGAAGCATTCGATAATATTACATCTCCTACACCAGTTGATTTAGAATTTTCATCGAATTATGGTCTTGATATAAATCATAATACAAATGGTTTAGCAAGTGGTCAACATAATCGTTTAGGTAATTCTTCTAATGTTCAAAATGATTATAATGGTAATCATCCATATGGAAATTCATCGAATGGTACAAATCATAAATCAAATAATTATCAACATTTTGAATATGAAATTGATATGAATGATCATCCATCTTTACATCAACAACCATTAGCACTTGGTTTTTATGTTTCAACAATAGGTACATTAAATCCTTTACCATTATGGATGTTACATGGAAAATTAAATCATCGAACAACGAATACATGTAGTGTATTCAAAGCAACATTGCATGTTAGTGTACCCAATGCTCAACATTCAGATGATATGTTATTTGCTCAGAGTAATGATCAAAAATTAACTCATCCATTAGATTCAAATTATACTTATGTTGTACTTAGGTAGATTATTGAAAAAGAATTTTTTGTTAAATTTATTGTTTCTGTTTTTCTAGACATGTTTTGGAATCTTATAATCGTTTATCATGGTTACTAATTGATGCAAAAACAAATGAACGTGCCAGTTGTTTACCAATTCATATGGAAACATTATTGAGATTATATCATGCTTTTCTTAAATTTGTATGATATTAGATTTGTTTCTTGCACGTTTGCTGTTTCATGCAATGTTGTTATCATATGTTGTTTCTTTTCTTTCTATGCCTGTGTTTTTTTTGTAGCCATATTGGCACACCGGCGCGATCTTTGTTTGTTTCTATTATATAACAGTAACCTCATTTCTTCGAATTTGTCAATTAGACAACGAAGAAAATTAAGCTGCGTATGTGAATCAAGCCAATCTCTCTCATATATCTTGTCTTTTCTTTTTTTCGTGTATTTTGCGCTCAGTTTTTCATAGAAAATAAATACATTTATGTGCGGCGTTGTTGTTTGTCTTTAAATTCTGATCTGATACGTCTATTACCTTATACTTCTTTACAAAAAATAAAAACAGATGACTTGCACTTGATTTCTTTTCGCTCTTTGTACAGGTGTATATTATATTTTTAGTGTGAGCGTTTCTACGTGATCTATCTCTTGTACTCATTTTCTCTCTCTCTCTCCCTCGATATATATATATACATATATATATATATAGCGCTATTTTGTCTCCTGCAATGTTGTTTGTTTTCTCTCGGATGTGTTGAACATACAAAAGCAGCGATCTTTTTTTTTATACATTAACTTTACTTCCGAAAGTCCATGTCTTCTACAATGACGGTTTCTATTAGACAAATATATGAACTATTGTTACAAGAAAAAGAAATGAACTACCGATATATATATATATATATACATATATACAATCGAATCAGACACATCTGTTTCTCTCGTCCTTTTTCTTTTCTGTTTGTCTGTTTTTTTTCGTTTTTTTTTCTGCGCGTGCGTAGTAAATCATGTAAACCCATACAAACATAAACTCACACTGAAAATAAAGAACGAATAGCGATTCTTGAATCGTAGAAAAACAATGGATAATTATTTCAAAGTGAAATCAATCCTTCTGTCTTTTACAGTTTTATCTTAAAAGAATTATCATTATATAAATGAATGAATACAATAAGATTCCACAATCGATTATTAATTTTAGTACTGATTCAATGAATACGAAAGAAGTTTATCGGAGGTGAACATGAATGAAATATTTTGAAAACAATAATAAAGTTCTCAAATCTTGGACTAAGTTAACTTCATGTAAGAAAAATGATATGATCTCAATTCATCTTTCAGTTGTATTAAGATATATTCTAGACATTCGCATAGATAATTTATAAATAGTTCGTAAAAAGAATTTTAATTATACTCACATCTAGTATTAAACTATTGTAAATGACATTACATTTAGTATGCAAATTAAAATAGTATTGATCAGATAACTATTGATAATCAGTTGACCATCGATGTTAGAAAGAAAGGACAACATGTATAATTTAATGCGTTCACATTAACAGTTCAATAGAGCATTGAAAATTTACATTAGATGTTAATTGAATCGACAAATGTCAGAGTAGATCGAGCATAGTACAACTTTCTATATAAACGATCTTTCACGTGTAAAACTAATGATTTCATCTTATTTAAAGGCTAAAAATACGCAGTTGACTTTACCGAATGTAATAAATACTAATGTCGTCGTATTAGATTCTCAGGTAAAATATTAATGTGAAGGTTTTTACTACCAACCAATATAGAGGAATTCACAAGTAATGACTCAAAATTTACTACAGCAGATATCCTGATAGTAGGTTTAAAATAATTATCAGTTGAGGTTGATCCATATAAAAGTTTTCTACTTGATCCTAGAAATATGGTTTGATGTATCTAGTAAAATTCTTTTCTGCTAATAATATAACAGAACATTGATTTATATGTATGTTTCAGCTATTCTTTTGATATACTTTCATGTATACACGTGTTTTTCTCTCTTGTATTATATTTAAATATATTTTGTTGTTCTCCATTTCTTTCTAATGATCATATATTATCTTTTTATTAATAACTTTTCTTTCGAGTGCACGATTTACTTTCCGTTAATTATTTAGACCATACGAAATGAGTATTCATTGCGACAGTCAATGCAATGAGGGTTTGATTTTCAAGTTCAAGATTATGAGACGTCGTAAAAAATAATATTATATCTGATAATTGTTTAATGAAATTGTGGCAACGTTACGATGAAGATCGTGCTGATATTGCAGCGTCCTCAAAAGCTGACGGATTCAGATATTTCCAAAGTCCATTAAAAAAATAAACAACTATCGCTTTTTATTCTTCTGTTATTTATTCATATATTTATTGAATTCAAGTTCGGAGAATACATTGACTGTTGCTATGACTCTACTCATTACTCATTTTGTAAGACCTAAATAATCGATGGAAAGTAAATCCTTGATAACGAAAATAATATTTATCGACGAAAAAAAAACAATTAATATTGAAAATAATCAATGGAAAGTAAATCGTGTAATCCCTTTTCTTTCTGTACTTTTACATTTGTGTATATACGGTAAGACAATGATTATCTTTCAGTTTCAACTCTGTAACCGACAAGTATTACTGATATCCGCTCTATTTACTCGACAATCATCAGTACTGCAAAACTATTATGAAAAGATATAAGCTGACAGTGAATCCACGATGTTACGATCAAGTTAGAAAAACAAAAATTCAATGATGCTTCGATCTAAGATCTAGTTTTGTTAAAAAAATAAACGATTTTAATGAATTTTGTCTCATTAAACATAGAATAGATAGGAAATATTATGAACGTTGTTTTAAAATTTGAAGTTTAAAATAGAATGTTTTTTAAAGACAAAAACCATCGATGTGCAATTTAAAATGTATTTCAAAAAAATACTTGAGAAGTATTTAATGACGTCTTTTATTTGAAGTTCTCCATTTATTTAGAATAGTTTCATAATAGACTAGTATGAATATGTACTATAAGAAATATGACGATACTAAAAGAAAGAAAGTATTTCTTCGTATACTGATCTCTGTTTACACTTTCTATTGCATCACTTTTAAGTACTACAACGGCTGATGTAAGAGTATCAAATTTTAACCGCAAAATTAATCTAACATTTGGAATATGTAAATAATTATATACATTGATCGAAAACCTAATTTGACTATTAATAACATTATAGAAAAATAGCTATATAAAGTTTCAAGGTAATAATAAGTAAACATAAAACTTTGTTCTATCAAAAGTCTAAAACGATAGATAGTTGTATAAAGATAATCAGAAACCTAAAAAAAAGACAGTGATATGTATTCTTCTCTTTTTTGTTTTTAAAGGTGAATACTACATATAATAAGTTCAGTCTAGACTAGACAAAAATGAATGATAACAGTAACATAATTCAAACACGTAACGAGGATGTAGATAATGACGATATTGTCGTTTATCAAAAAGATAACGATGATTACACTTGTCAATAATATCCTTGTTAGATAGAATACTATCATTCGAAAGAAATATTTATTCGATTCGATATAAAAACTAGCATTATATATTTCATTTAGAATTCATGTCATGTATATTAAAATAACTAGTCGATATACATTAAATACTTCTATGTATTATGCAAAAATAAAATGATAGGAATATTATTACATTCATAATCGAATAAATATTGTAGATAAACTGATCGATAGTATGATTGAAATAGAACACCGAGGAATGTGTTATTGAGTGTATTTGCATTATACTATTCTCCGAAGACTTTCATGTTTTCCCCAATATAAATCGTATATACATTCTTTCATTACTGGAGGAAATTTCTTCTATATCTATTTCTACTCTTTTCTAGTACTGTGGTATGTCAAAAAATAAGTTATATTATTGATTATAGGATCTTTTATCTTTTGCTAACCCATTCAAAAATAAATATTAACATATCTTATTTATTTGATTGATTTTATAAATTTGTTTTATCCAATCATTAAATTTCTATTATTAATCCAAACTTTTCTTTAAATCGATCTCTTATAAAGCAGAGAAGAAAAAAAAAGCATTAGCTGAAAGCACATGACACTTGTCTATCAGTTCGTATCTATATCTATTGTAATGTGATGTGCGATAGAATGCAAAGAACAACTAATCGATAAAATATGACCCATGCTTATCGTATTGACTCATTCGGTTTGTCGACGACAACATAATAATAATCGCTATGATGATCTAACTCTTTTTCTACCGTCTCTTTCGCTCTCCGTTTTTTTGGTCTATTTAGTATAACTAAACGAATAGATCGTGTGTTAAAGAGAAAGATAAAGAATCAAACGATTCGATCGGCAAACGTTTACTACAAACATCCTATCACGTATATATCAACAACAATTAGGAAAAGTGAAGATTGAGATAAACCAGCAATCAAGATTCTTCTCTCCTATATAAGGTAATACTATTCAGAGATAATTATTTCTATTTTTCGATACATCAAGTACAAATCGATAGATTCACAGAGTAAGTTACAATTCTTCGAGAGTCTAATCTAAATTCAATAATGATCAAAACAACATTATTAAAGACTAAATATGTTTCTAATTAACAACCATATGTTAATAATATTCATAATGTAACTTTAGAATATTAGTTTCGACTAGATAATAATGAATCTTAGAAAAACTCGAAGTAAACACTTGTTTGAACTACAGTATATTATTTAAAGAAAAACTATCTTTATCATTATAGAAAAATATTTCATTTTCATTTAGTCGACCCTTTTTTTTATCAAAATATTAATAAAGATTTTTGTTATTTAAATTATTCTTTTTATTCATTTAGGATCAAGTTATGACAGATAAAAAAGATTCAACAATGACCGGCACTAGTGAAGGAACTAGTAAATTGGTAGAAAAATATCTTAAAGAAATTGATGATGACGAAGATAGTGGTATGTACAACTGTTTTATTTAATAAATTGATATAAGAAAAAAACAATTTTGTAATTATATCATAGAAAAACATAAAATTATGTTTTGTAAATTATTCTGACGTCAATGAAATGGACGTAAATTTTAAAGATTGTTGTCATAATTACCTTATTTCTTTTTACATGAATTAATTCCTATAGGCATTTTATGTCATGAACACATGAACGCTCTCTATTTTTCACCATTATCTATGACAAAACTTTTTTAATGAAGCATGAATACCAATCATTAGATAAAAAAGAAAAAAAGAATGTTGATAGTACGATATTTTAATAACGAATAATGTTTTTCTCTTTTTATATTTCAACAAGACAAGAAATGAGATGATATGTTATTTTTTCTGTCATCCCTTACGTTTATGTTATCGCTTGACACATGCTAATATTCTCGTGCAGTATTACGAGATTTTTCTTTTTATAAAAAATATTTTCTCTTTTATCTGAGAAAAAAAAAACTAGATGATTACTTTTCTTTTTTTTACTGCAAGATACTTCCTATTTATTCTATACATTTGTGATTGAGGGTATTGATGGAGAAGAAAAAAAAAAAAGGCGAACACCTGACCATATGCTTTTGTCGAATACTAATAAGTTAAAGTTGTATGTTTTTGAAACATTACTTAGTTTCAAGATTGTTTCTTGTTCTTTTTTAACTCTCTCTCGCTCTCTTCTTCTCTCGAAGTATCTTTTTCATCTGACGTACCAGCCGAGAAGAAAAATAGAAATAAAAAGAAAAAAGTGACATCGACTGAACTGAACATCTCTTACACCTACGAGACATTGTGATCTTATTATACTCATTTGAATGTAACATTCAAATGATAATATTATATTTTATGACGTGCTAGAAAAAAAAGACGAGGAAATCATTCCCAACACCATATTATGACCTCTAAATCAAGTAATAAATCACTAACAACAACAACAACAACAGCCACGTCAACAGCCATTTCCGTTTCACAGCAACTTGCCAGACAATTAGAAGGAATTGTTGAGTGTGAGTAATCACTTTTATCTTTCATTGAAAGAAAAAAGAAAAAAAATCTTACTTATTTATAGAAATTTCGAAGTTATTTTCATCTTTGAAAACAACTGATTGAATCTTACTGTATATTTTAATAATTAGGATTACTGTATGACAGTTATAAAATAATAACATACACAATTCTATTTATATTTGCTGTTTTTCTTACCGAAGAAATATATTTAATTGCGTTTAATCATATAGATAATATATAGAAACTCGAATATAAATAATTAATACGATACTTTCCAAGATTTTTATTGATTACTTCCTGTCCGATGATAATTAAGGAAGTTTTAAAACTATTGTTCTGTGATAAAATTTCAAAAATAATAAATCGATTATATATTTTTTAGCTGATGAAGATGAACTTCCAGCAAGTGCTTCAGCTCAAAGTCTTGGTGTTCGTGCTCAAAAGAAAATTCTTAGGTAATAATAAATTTTCAAGAATAAATCAATATTTTGTTTTCATTTTAGTAAACTTTCATCAAAATCAGTTGCTAAAGTATTTATTGATGAAACAAGTGGTCGTATATTAGACAATTTACATAAATTAACTCGTGGTTATTCAGGTAATAAAAAAGAAGCTGACAAATTACTTCGATCAATAATAAAAACAATTGTTAAATTGGGTATATTATATAAAAATAATTTATTTAATGAATTTGAATTAAAACTAATTGATGAATTTCGTAATCGTTTTCATTCATTATCAAAAGCTATTGTTACATTTTATGAAGTTGATTTTACATTTGATCGTCTTTTTTTAACACGTATGTGTAAAGAATGTCAAGATTTAACACATAAAATAATATCAACACATTTAACACAAAAATCTCATGTACGTATTGATTATATTTATAATTATCTAGGAAATTTACAATTTCTTGATTATGTTTTTAATCCAAATTCAACAACAAATCGTGTAGTTATTAAAGAAATTGTTCAAGATATGAATTCATTAATGGATGCTGGATTACTTTAATTAATATAAATATATATTATAATACAACAAAAGTTTACACAAAAATCAACTTTATTCTATATACATATTACATTTTAATCGCCTTTCAATGCTTTACTCCTTTGTTTAACTTCTTTTTTTTGCACTAGAATCCTTTCATTATAAATATATATGTACCTCTTTCTTTTTTTTTAAGCTAAAAATATTAATGTTTATTATTACTTTGATTTCAATGAATATTTGCCTAACAGAAATGTGTTACATATAAGCATTAGAGAGAATAATTGTCATCCTTGAGAAAAAAAGGAAAGATAACATATCTTTCATGTTCACAACTTCAGTATTCTAAATGTCAGGAATTTTTTTTGATGAGAATTGAATGTCTTCATATCATTAAAATCTTAAAAAACTTATTTTGTTCTCATATAATAGAGAGATATTTCAAGTTTTTACAATTATAATGGAAATTGACAGATAATATTCAACGGTATCGTATTTAATTAAAGTACATACATGCACTCTGTTGTTTTGTTATTGAGAAGACATTGTAGTTTTGTAACATTGCATTTTATATGATTTCTTTTGGATTTTTTCAATTGTTGATGTCATGAATTAACGTTTCAATGATTTTATTCACATAACTCTGAGAGAAAGAAATTCATTAATAATACAACTAAAGAAATGCATTATCCTAACAACTCAAATAAAATAATTAAACATAAAATTGTTTTTTTCGGAAAAAGTTTGAATCGATATATTCTGACTATATTGTTGAATACATGATATATGTGATACTAGTTATAAATCTTTCAGAAAGTAGGAGTGACAATTTCAGATAAAAGGTACGTTTACAATTCTTCAATTGAATCTTATTTTATTTGTGTAGCATACGAATAGTTCTGTTTGCATCTTCACGGGATTATATTTGTTCTAATTCAGGGTAACATTCAGTTCATAATTAGTTATTCCATATGTTCTATTTATAACTTGATGAATTTCGTGCACATAAGAAGAGAATTAACTAGCTAGATTAATTCTTAGCATTTTAAATACCATATGACGAAGTATCTTAGTTATCAATAATAGATCTTATGTGATGTTTTAAATTAAAAAGTGCAACATGTTTTGTACTTTCTCACTCTCTATATACTGTATTTAAAAATAAATGAAATATAATACTAAAAGTGAAAACCAAATGAATAAGTCAAATTGACTTGAGATGTTATGTTGATTAATTATAATTGATAATTAAAGTTAAAAAAATTCTATGCTTATTTATATAATATTGTACTACCGAATATGCTACACTAAACAACTTAATTACTACTGATTGCATTATAATATGAATTTTCATTTTTTAGCTATATTAATGCACTTGGTAATATGAAATTTTGTATAAATTGACTCAGTTGATCGTTAATAGAGACTATAGGAATAATTAAAATTCACATCATTGAATACTCAAGTAATAAAAAAATTTATTTTGATTTTAATGGAAAGTTGCATTTTAATTAGTGAAAATAAAATACATCAAAAATAATGTCTATTACGTCATCAGAAATGTCATTTTTTAAATTCTCGTGGGCGAATAAGAAAATTTTGCAATAATATCAAGGGAGAGAAAGCGATGCTTCCGTACTCCCATGTACTTCCATCGTACTCTAAAAAAGTTTTGTGATAGATGGAGTCTCGCTTTTTCTCCCTTGAATAATATCCATATCACACTAGTTAAACAAAAAAAAAGAATTGTTAAAATCGTGTATAAATATTGAATTGCGTGTTTAATAATCTTCGCCTGTCTTAGCACTGAATAAACATGTAATCAGATGAAGCATATCAGACTATACTTGTCGTTTATAATTCTTAAGAATTTGAAAATAAAAAAAGACGTCCTTTTCTTCATTAATAGATATTTATATTTTAGTATATAATCTTCAAGGAATCTATTAGTAATAAGTACAACCGAATATTGAACATGACCTATAACTCATTTTACGAAAAAAAAATTGAAAATCTCCATAACGGCTCAAGCAAACGAGTCGATTCTTTTATCAAAAACACAGCCACATTCATACAGACAAGATTATTGAGAACCTATGCTAAGCATAACAGTATTTTCCCTATTTATGAACAAATAAAGTTTTCTTCTTGATGGTCAATAACGATATCTAACAAAAGTTCTCACCAATCTGATCCGTATGGATTTGGAATATGAGTATACTTCTTTCCCTGGTAAAGTGACTTATGGATCATTCCATATTTCAAATGAATTTTTTTATTACCCAGAACTGTAAAGAACATTTGATAATATAATTTTGTCTTTTATTGGATATTATAATTCTTTAAGAAGTCCTGATCATTCTGTGTATGACAATAAATATATTTCTTTTCGAAAATTATGTCTTCAAACAAAAATTTCCTATTTGTGTATTTAAAACTAACGAATAAAATTCTGTTTGATAACATATGCACGTGTGTATACAATTGTATGATGAATTAAAATAAGTGAAAACTCTTGAAAAGAAAAGATTCGTCCAGATTTAGTTTACAAAAATAAATCAGACGATGTAATCACTCGTTTTTTTTCTCTTTTCATTAGACAATCATCAAGGCGACCAAAAAATGTATGATGAGAATGAGCAAGAAAAGAACAAGAGAAATCGAGAAAAAAACCTGAAATTATGCTTTTGCATATACATTTGTGCACGGCAATTCTTTTAATTTTTTTTCTTTGTTTTTGTTTGTTTTACATCAGGTGTGTTTAGAACAGATGTAACAAATTCTTTTTATATGGAGGTATAAAACAAAAAATCAAATCCATGAACAATGGCAACAAAAAAATTATCGAAATTATTTAAAGGAAAAATAAATGCACAACGTTTGCCACCTATACCTATAACTAATGAACAAACATTAACAACTAATAATGGAGAACTTCCAATTTCTATATTAAAACAATCAAAACCATTTGTAGAAAATCTAACAACTGATAATCGTACAATTCCATTTGATGATGGTATAATCATTTAAAATAATAAACTGATGAATCATGTATATCTTTTGAATTTTCTAGATGATCTCGAAAGTTCACGAATTATGTTTGAAAAGTAAATTCAAGGACAAAATTTTCTTTCAATTCTTTATTGTTTATATTTAGAACCCGAGAAGATGTACTTTTACTTCTTGATAATTATCCATCAAAAAGTAAACTAATAAATTCATTTAGTTTTGATTAATGTCATATGATATTTTTCTAGCATATACGATACCGCAATCTTTAAAAACACAGTTCGAAACAAAAAAAGATATCATCTTAATCTGTATTTTAATATATACTTTTTTCTTTCTAGTTATGACAATTCGTTAAATCAAGGTCAAACAATAAATCCATTATTCGGTAGAGATTTAGTTTCGAATAAAAATCTTTCGAATTTATTTTATTTTAGTTCCACTTTTTTCTTCGACAGATCAAAATAATGAATTAGTCGATACATTTCCAGCACCGCTCAGTGATCGATTAGCAGTTAGTAGAACTTTTTTTCTAATAAAAATTTAAGACTATTATTTTTCTAATTTCTTTTTTTTCTTCTTCTTCTTCTTCTCTTTCACAAGCATTAAATAATTCTCTTTTTTTTTTCTTTCCTTCAATTTTTTTTTATTTTTTATTTTAGTCGTCGCGTTACTGTCGTCGGTCTGTAAGCAGTGCTTGTAGTCGTCGGTCGTCAATTCTTTTTCAACGTCATCCTAGTATTCCTCATGATACAGCACAACTTCAACGTGAAGATACATTTGATACCGTACGTGAAAGCTTCAGTGAAAATATTCGTTCATCATATACACCTTTACCACCAATACCGATTGATCCACCATCCAATTTATCAAAATCATTAGTAATTCCATCAATAGATCCATTTCAAAGCATATCACCTCCATTAATTAGTACAGAAGAAAAACCGGATATACAAGAAAAAAAAGACGAATTTACTCGACGTATACTTTCGAAAAGTCTTCATCGTGAACCATCTGCTTCAGTAACAGATAAAACTATGGATTCACCGACACTTGTACATAAATCACCTTTAGTTAAATCTGGTATTACACCACGATTACAAAAACCTGTTGTTGAGAATCGTCGTGTGAATAGTGTTGAAAGACATGCCCCAGCAGTTCCTAATAAATGTAAAATTTCAACAGCATGTAGTACTACTTCAGTGAATACAAGTCAACAACGTTTTGGAAAATTTTCTCTAGATATTTTTCAACCACAATCCAAATGTAATTCAACAACAGCAACAACAATAACAACAACAACAACAACAGTATCGAATAAAAAATTAATAACAGCAAATAATAGAACAAAAGTTGTATCAAAAACTAATATACCAAAAGTAAAAGTTATTAATTCAGTTACTTCTAACGAAGAATCTATTCAATCTAACAAGTAGAATATTTTATTTCAACTTTATTAGAAATTTCATTTTTTTTTCGTATTAGTGACGTCATTCCTCCTTCTTCGTCATTACTTTCTGTATCCAATGAAACATTTCAAGTGTCAAATATTGCGACAACAGAAACAGTACCTCCTCTCATTGTCAATACTGAACCTATTTCTTCTCCACAAACTGAACAACCAAAATTTAGTAATTTTATTCAACAAAAACGTCAATCATCTTCTTCAAGTAATTTACATCGACATTCACATGCAGTACCAAAACCATTAACATTACAAGGAGAAAAAACTGTTGACAGTGATTATCCTCAAACAATTACAAGACCTGTTGCATCAACTATGGCTGGCTGTCAAAGACGAGGAAGTTTGAAAGGTCAACCAACAATTACGGACTTATTTGAAGATACACATGTAGATATACAAAAACCTCTTGTGAAGCCTGAATCAACACCTACAACAAATTCATCAAACATAAAAAAGAAAATATCAAGACCAAATCTTTTAAAAAGTGCTAAACCAAAAAAACCAATTGTTGCAAATAAACCTAAATCATCACCAATAGTTAATAGGAAAGTTGACATGAAATGTCAAAGTACAAATACAGAAACAGAAACAGAAATAAATGAAGAAAATCAATCAGATAAGAGCCCAATGACTGTGAGTGGTCCTAATTGGATGGTAACTGTTCAACCACAAATTATGAAAGATGAAGAATTTGAATCATCATTTTTCCCTCCAATATCTACTATTGATGATGAAGAAATACCATCATGTACATCACCTATAGATGAATTAGACGAATCACAAACAACACTTATGACAAGTTTTGGTGATACTGAAGTATGTATAAGATATAGAGTTTACTTTTGTTATTATGAATATGATTGAAAATTATTTATATAGAGACAGCATAGTATTGATTCCTCTCATGCAGTAGAAATCAGTCCAGTTCTATCACAAATTATCGAACATCCTGTTGAATCTTATCGAGCAATAGAAATCAGTCCAGTTCTAACACAAACTATCACACATGTTATTGAATCAACTTCTCAAACATCTAAACCCAACGAATCTTCACTTATCAACTCGGATATTCGTACTGTCTATGAAACAGTTAAAGAGTCTTTTCGCAAAGATTCATCATTCCATTCATTACCATCCCAATCAAATGAAGAAGAAGTCGGATCTATCAAACCATCACTACCCACATCAATCAAAAGTATATCATCATATAAAAAAACATTACCATTTGAAACGACAACCAGTATTACACATACATATAATACTTCAGATACAGGTCTTACCATTGGACCAGCTTTACGTGTTGTTAATGATAGTTTGAACAGTCGAGGTAAAAATAGGAGAATTCAATTTAATCTCTAGTATACCTTTTGATATTTAAGGTAGTGAAACGATTGATTCGACTAGTAGTCATGAAGATTATGGTACAACACCCTTGTGTATTGAAGCAGATTGTGATGAAATCTATCGAACAGCACGGAAAGGTCGACAAGTTGGAAAAGGCGTAATTACTTATTTATAATAAAATAACAAATTCTTTAAATAAATATCGAATTTCCTTTTTGATAGGCATATGGTGTTGTTTGGTCATATTTAACAATTACTGGACGTGTTATTGCCGTTAAAGAAATTGAACTTGATGATGATGATACTGATCGTTTACGTAATGATTATGAATCCGTACGTGAAGAAATTAATATACTTCGAGCACTTAATCATCCATATATTGTCAAGTAAAGAATATAAAATATTTTAAGGCAAAACTAAAATTATTCTTGTTTTAGATTTCTTGGTATATCATTAGAAAATACACGTTTAGTTAAAATTTTTATGGTAGAAAATTTACATACTTATATTAGAATAGAATAGAATAAAGACATCTTTTTTTTGTAGGAATATCTTCCAAATGGTACAATTGAACATTTAATATTATCTTTTGGTCCATTTCATAATGATGTTCTAAAAAAATATACGCAACAAATCGTTGAAGGCGTTGCTTATCTTCATGCTAATCATGTTGTTCATCGGTAAATATTTTATTTTAATTCCTATTCTTATCATTTTTTCTCCTCTTAATTTAGTGATATAAAAGGAAAAAATATAATGCTTGATGTTGATGGTAATATAAAATTAATTGATTTTGGTTGTGCGAAACGATTGAAAAATAATCAAAATACACATTCAATGCGACAAATACTTAAATCAATGAAAGGTTTAATAAAACAATCCTTTTTTATTTTTATATTTTTTAAAATGTTATATCTAATAGGTACAGCTAATTGGATGGCACCAGAAGTAATAGCAGAAACTGGACATGGAAAAAAAGCTGATATTTGGTCAATAGGATGTACTCTATGTGAAATGGCTACTGGTAAACCACCTTGGTCATCTGAACATAGTCATTTGGCTGTTCTATTAATTATTGGTAAGAATTTATTTAATTAAATTAGAGAAATTAGTTTTATGTTCGTTTAGCTAATGGTACTAAACCACCAGCTGATCTACCTGATACTTGTCCTGCGTCAGGTCAAGACTTTTTTCGTTTATGTTTAACACGTGATCCATCAGCACGACCATCAGCAAAAGATTTATTAGCTCATCCATTTTTAGCTTCCTAAAGATAATTATTTCATAATGTACTTTTGTTTATTGTGAATTATTGTCTTTCATTCATTTATTATATATTGTATTTTATAGAAGATGAAATTGTGTAATTTTTACATATATTTTGGTTTTCATTTTTTTTTTTCAATTCTTTTATTGATGTAGTTATAAACACAAAAATATATAATCTCGTGTTATTAGTCATTTTGAAAAAAAACTTCGAAATAGTATATAATCTTAAAAAAATTGACAAAGGTGTAAGAATCAAAGAAGCAGATATCGATAAAATCATTCATTAGAGATGTAACTTCGCAAAATCAAAATGAATACATCTTTACTTGACAAACTTTTCTAAATCTTAGTTTTTATACATTTACTTATTGTAAATATGCTAAAAAATTCAATCTTAGATGGTATTAGTCATATGATTTGAGACAAGGCATTGACTTCTCTTTATTGTATGGGTATTTTCATGGGAATTGAGCCACGTAGTACAAAAGTGGTTTTAGATTTTGATCAAATTTTTAGAGTAGATAAAGCTTTAAATAAATTAGCATTTTTTTGTTTTTGTTATGTGCTTTGAGAAAAGCAACAGATTGTGAGTAAATCTCTTCTTTTTTAAAACACACGCTTCTGCCTTTTACCACTTATAACACATAAATAAAAAAATAGCAGCTATTTCCATAACGTAGAAAGTGAAAAACAACTATTAAATAATAATTCTTAATATACAAAATCATGAAAGATAAAAACATTTCTGTTATGTTCAAATATTGTTATTTTATAACATTTGAAAATTAGTATTCAATGTCACGCGTGGAATTTGCCTGAGGAAAATATCAGTTTGTCATATTCAGATTATCAATAATAGTGTTTCATTATCTATACAAACACGCCTTCCAGTATATCTTGTTGTTCATGATCAACAGATTTTTCGAATTAGTTCTTTATACACATATTATTCTGTTATCTGACATTACATCTTCTTTTGTTATTAGTAGAGATGTCGATCGATCAACTACGACATCGTCACATACGTCTCATTTTTTCATCCGCAGAACACTATTCAACTACAAAAATAAGAAAAAAAATTGCTTTGAACAAGTTTTAATTAGACAAAAAAAACACATATTTGTATCATTTATTTTTTTAACTAATTCATGCTAATATCTATATAATGAACAGATGGCTTTTAACAGAAACAAACTGATGCGATTCATTGTGAGGACTTTTTTTTACTTTCTTGTATAATATTTATCATGCCTTTATGATATTTTGAATCTCACTTAAAGGGAAACAGGGTGATTAGTTACTCAATTTATAAAATGGCAGAAACCATCGCTCATGATCGAATGAACAGATTCAAGCAGTTACGTGATTATATAAGAAAAATCAATTTTTTCAACGATGCAGAAACCACATCTGTTATTGATCAATTATTTGCAACAAGAATTGTTATCTTTCTAATGACTATCGCTCTCATTATTATTATTACTTGGGCTAGTTTAACTATTCAGACACATTCTGTCACTATTCCTTCACCATCTGAAACTATTTTCAAACAACTATCTGTTCGATATCCGAATACACTTTCATGTCGATGTACACAAACATCGATTCATCATCATCAATTTCTTTCGTTTGATCCACAATATCATCCAATATGTACAAGTCAATTTATTAGTCATTTATTTATTTCAGCTTTATCTAAGATAAATATCAGTGACTATTATATCTCAGATTATCGTATTATAGTATCATCTCATTTTCAGCTGCTTAAGCTACTTTGTGAAACAGTGAAACAAATGATAGATGATTCATTATTTATTTTTGATTCTAAATACTTTACTACCACTCAAGTTTTGTCCATTGAAAAGTTTGAGGCACAGATAAATCAACTTATAAAACAGCTAAAATCAACAACAATGACTGATATGAAACATACAAGTGATTATCTTGGATTAATTATTTTTCAAAATGGCATTTATTCAGCATTGCAGACGAAGTATCGTATTCAATATACTCCTAATTCTAATACATACAGTCAGCCTTCAAATGAATACAACACTTTGATTACTACCTGCTCTTGTGAAACAAACGCTGCTTGTGTAAGCCAAGCTGAATTATACTATTTTCAAGGATACTTTTTAGGCAATTCCTCAACTGCAGATAGAATCAAGCTTATGTACTTTTTAGGGCGAATATTCTCGATTCCCGGTATGATGGTTGGTTGTTCACCATACAGTTCGTTACTTCAATCATCCCTTCAATGTTTCTATGACCAATCATGTATTCAGCAAATGCAAACATTCATCCATGGTTTCTCATTGCTTTCACCACTTTCATCATCTCATTTTCAGCCAGATGCAACAATTGAAAATCTCTTGAATGAATTATTTATTGACTCATGGAATGAAAAACGAAATTTTAGTGCTTATTTTGACATATGTTCTCCGCTTTCATGCACTTATACATATGATCGACGATTTAATCTTCTTCATATAATTGTGACCATTATTAGTCTTTTTGGTGGTGTACAGATGACTGTGTTTTTTATTGCTCCATTTATAGTTAAGATTATACGACGATGTCAAAAGTGTAAACGTCAGTGTAATAGAAGTGATAATCTATCAACTGAAACTGAACTCGAAACAAATTCCAATCAAAGTAAATTTCTTTTTTTGTATGGTTATCGTTTTTTAGTCGAAGAATTTGTTTTATAGGTTTAAAAGATCGTTTCATGTCTTTTGTGAATAAGATGAAGATGAAACTACTTACATTAAATATGTTTCCATACTTATCTGACATTACTGATGGGATTTATTCTACACGTGTCTATCTGCTATCATTTGTTGTTGGAATAATTATTTTAGTATTCTATGCATCAATCTCTGTTCAAATACGAAATATCACTGTATATCAACCATCATTAAATGAATATGAGCGATTGTATAAACAATATTCACGAACACTTGTGTGTCCATGTATTAATCTTTCTATCTCATACTCATCAATCATAGATATAGTGCCTCATTATCATCAAGTGTGTTCAAGTGATCTCATTAAAGATAATATCTGGCTGCTCTACTTTTCAAGACCCCCTAAAGATCTTAACACTTTTGATTTCCGTCTTATGGGTGTAGGATGGTTTTCATTACTTCAAACATTATGTCGAATGTCAAATGAGACAGTGATAAATGAACTACTTGTCTTTAATCATATGCAATTTATTAGTAGTCAAGTAGTGCCAAATCATTTATTCGACATACAAACTTCTGCACTGATTCGTCAATTTCAACAACAGGTATATGACATAGAGAGGATAGTATTTATTTTGTTGATTATGATAAGTTAATGTAATTGTTTTAAAACATGTGCTTCAAAATCTAGTACATTTACTCAATCAGATATATATATATGACTTATATTTAAATGAGCAATAATAAAATCGAAATGAGCAATAACGAAATTTGGCAATAATAAAATTGAATCAGCGATAATAATACTGAATGAGCAATAATTATACTAAATGGGCAATAATCATATTAAATGAGCAATAATTATACTAAACGAGCAATAATTTATTTAAATGAGCAATAAACCGTATGTGTAAGGAGCAATATAAATTCAGCTGTTAAATCCCCTCTATAACAGAAGACCCCCTCTCAATAGAGGAACCTCCAATAATAGAAGACCCTTCTGGAAAAAATTTCTATACAAATTATGTATATTTTGATGAGGATTTCAGTAAATTTAGGCTTAGTTTGAGAAATATAACAGAAGACCCAGTGGTCTTTTATTATAGACTGGAGTTTACAGTACCATTCATCTGTGTTGGATATTTTCTTTTCCTTCTTTTGATTGTATCGTATAGATGGCTTATCCAAGATCGTCACATATATATTGTTTTTTCTTTTTTATCTGAAGTATTTTCCAAACGTTGACTCGTTCAAGTACTTTCCTTTCTCCTTATTTTTCCCTCACTGTGTTTGAATTTTCCCATCCTGTTTATGTATATATATCAGAGGTGGAATCGGTTCGTGATTTTTTGGAATCGAACCGAATTCTGCCGAAAAATTGTCAAATCGAAGCAAACCGAACCGATTTAGTTTTTTAAAAGGTCCAAACTGAACCGAACTGAACTCAAAAGAGGTGAAGTCTATAGCAAGTTAATCAACAAATCAGCTTTTCTCGAGGGTGGGTGTGGGTCCGTGTATATGTTCACTTCATCATCATCCATACTAACGCCCACACCTTCAAGAGGCTGACCATGTAAAGCAAAAGAAGCTTTATTGCTATAATAGTACATTTATTGCTCATTTTCCTTTTTTTATGATCAATTGTAGAAATAAAAACTGGAGTTTTTCTTTTTCTTATTACCAAAATGTGAAATTAATACTGCTATTTACTGGATTAATTATTAACCATTTCATAATTTAAAACTGCTCAAAAAAGATTTTTTTATTGCTCAAAGATTATTGCTAATTCGTATTTTAATTATTGCTCATTCAGTCACTATTAGTGCTCATTTAAATACTAGCCTATATATATGTTTGAGTGTGGTTATTTCTTAAATAAGAGATTGTAATTTAAGTTTCAATTACAACTAGAAGGTATTCGAGTTGTACTCGACTACGAAATGCGATGCGAATAGCAGAACTTAGAAATAACGCTTTTAGGGTTTTCATAAAAATGTGAACATTTAAAATTATAGTATAAAAAAATAAATTTGTAGTATCGAAATTAACAAATTAAATATAAGTTTTTTTTATGAAATTCTTTTTTTATTTATTGAAATAAAAGCTCTTTTATTTCGTATCTATCATATATTCTCTCAGCTATAAAACATTTGTTCAACAAAAATGGCGCTTAACTTTTGCTTTTGTTTTTTCGTTTTAATTATCTCGAAATTTAAAATAGTCAAAATCATGTTTTTGTGACGCTTCGTGTAAATGAGTTAAACGTCTTATTGAAAATCGGAAAACGTGTGAAATCAGTTTAATGTTCAAATGTTAATCTCCCGTTTAAACGAGTATTTTCCGATGTTCTATTGCTGAAATCATCTCGTTAGAAAATGACCATTTTGAATGTAAACGTCGAGTCAGGAAGAAAGAAAAAAAGAAAACTCGCCGAGAACTACATAAATGCTTCTGCTATTCGCATCGCATTAAATACTAACAAAGATTTTGTATATTCTCGTTGATTTTTTATCAAAGAACTAAGAGTGAAAACAAAACTAAATAAAAGTTAAAAATAATACCAAATATAAATACGTGACAGAATCAAATAGTTCCATATACACCTTTAGATCTTCATTTGAGAGGAGTAAACAAAGTAGAAATAAAATCAATATCACAGTTGATCTATTCTGTAGAGTTCTTATGTAACAATCATTTATTCTTTCTTCCATTTTCTATTGTTATTTGTGATTCTATCTACACTGTTACAATACAAGAAGAAGATAAATAGTCTGTAAACTAACATTTTTCGTACACTTTGAAATTAACTAAGAATTGTATGAAGAATGATTGCCATCATTATGAATAACTTTGAAATAATTTTGATGTCATATAAATGAATACTAGCTTTCTTTCTCAAGTATAATACAATAAGTGTTTTTAAAAAACCTCAGCTTTGATGTTTATTTGTGTCGTCTCATAGTGTATTTTGATTATTTAAGACTGTCGATTCTTTTCTTGGCCTATTTGGGCTTGTTCGTGCTTTGATTCAACTGAACCAATTTATTGTTTTTGGCAGCATGAATGCTGAAATATATCATTCGAACGCTAATAATAATACAATGCATTACTTCATATCAACAACAAGTTATGACAACGACTGCTCATGTGGCAAAAGTACCTCTTGTACACGTCCTCAAGGATTTCATTGCACAGGAAGAAAATGTCAGCTAAGCTCAAATAAACCAAATCATACGATTCCTGGTATGGTGCTAAGTTGTCTAGCTGTTGACTCACTTCTTGCATCTTCACTTCAATGTTTCTACAATGCATCATGTCTGAAAATGATAATTCAAGGGCATTCATTTGAAAATAACAAATCAAAGATAGATCCACGTGTTGATTATATTACTCCACTCAATTCTAGATCTGATCGTCGTTCTTCACCTAATACTACATTGGATAACATTGTTTCACAGTTATTTATTGAAGATTGGGCAAACACAACTAATTTTAGTTCATATTATCATCAATGTGCACCAGATCAATGTACTTATACTTATGAACAACGTTTCAATCGAGTTTATATTATTGGAACTGTATTTGGGATAGTTGGTGGTCTTTCTGTTGCACTTAACATATTCATTCCTCTTCTTGTAATACTACTTCGACGAATATATCATCTTTATCGCAGACGACGTTTGGTTCAAGTTCCAACTGAAGTCACTGTAGAAACAAGTAAGAATCAACATCATATTCAATATGCAGAGTATTGATAATAAATCAGGCAATATTTGATTTGTTGTGCATATTTGATGATGAATATTTAACACTAAATGATATCTTTGAGATTATCTACGTAGATGATTTGTATATTAATTCATCAATAACAAAAAATCTTTTTCATGTTTGTTCTTAGGTATTGGTCGGAAACTGTCATTACGAGTTGCTCGTATTCAACATTCTCTTCGAAAAATGAACTTCTATAAAAAAATATCAAAGAACTCTCCATCAGAACAACTACAAACACCAGAACAAGTATTAGTTGTACAACGCCAACAAATAACAACTCGATTCTACATTATCTTCTTTCTGATAGGACTACTTGTGATTATAATATTTACTGCTCTTCATTTACATATACATTCTATTACAATATCATCGCCGACACTACCCATCTTTGAGTCTCTTCAAGATCAATATTCATCATCACTTTCATGTCCATGTTCACAAATTACAATACGATATACAAATTTTGTTACAGTTGAGCCAAGAAATTATCACCAAGTGTGCTCAAGTTATTTTAATTCATCAGATTTTATCAGTTTACTTTGGGGTTCAGATGAAGCAAGTGAATTTCTCTTAAATCTTGATAGAAAAATCCTAAGTACAGAATTTCGACTGTTATCAACATTATGTTCTCTCGCAATGAATACTACTCAACAACAGATTAGAATGTTTTCTTCACGAGAACTGATAAGTGTAGAAACATTAGCACGTCATTCATTTCAAACTCAAATCAATTCAATTATAAATAGTTTTATTGTTGAAACACCAGCTAGGCTTCGAAGAATACATAAATATATCATAGAGATGCTTCGTGCTAGTCAACTGCAGAGTATGTTCTTAACAAATTGGAATCTTCGTTCATCAACTCTCAAAGATGGATATTACATGTTAACAAGTCCAGTATTATACAATGAAAGTGGTGAGTCCTGTTCTTGTGATATAATGTCAACATGCACGAGATCGTTACTGACGAATTTGAATAAAATAGAAAAGTTCTCAGGTAAAATGTCACTTTAAATCAATGAATAAATTCGATAACATCTTGGGGGTGTGGATGCGGGTGTGTTACTAAGAGTTGTATTCTATTTTCACAGCGATACCATTTTATAATGTAATGTCCTTCATTGTTTTTCGCATAACCTGTTGTTTTCGTCAGTCGAAAGAAGAGTCAAAAGAACATCTTTTTCTTCAACATTAAGTAAGACAAAATCAATTTAAAATCAGATATTCCTGAAAGACATTGTAAAAAATGTATAAAAATAGTCTGTCATTCAAGTGAAATTTTTAGAACAGGTAAAACATTTGCTTTTAAAATAAAAGAAACTTACTGTTTTCCTACGAGGAAATACACGATTTTATTTGCTCAGCCATAGAACGTGGTAACTTAATTATTTGAAGTTCCTCTATTTAGTTCACGTATCAGAAGCAACACCTCATCTGAATGACAGACCACTTTTATACATTTCTCATAATGTTTTTGCAGAAGTGACTGATTTTAAAATGATGTCTCTTGTCTCTTGTCTCTTCTTTCGAGTGGTGGAAACCGTAGGTCTCTAGCTGATTGCATTCTTGAGCTATGGAAAAAGCAATGAACGACAGTATATTTTGAAATGAACATTAGTAGTTTTCATTCATCATATGATATTTTTAATTAGAACATCTGAATATAAGTAGGAAGAATATATATAGAAGGATGCTGTAATCTATAAACTTAACTGTAGTAGTTCATAAAATATTTGTGATAGATGATTTATCCAACTTCATATTCATAAATTTTGACTATGCATTCTTGATTTGAAAGTGAATCTAACATGTATATCACGATGGATAGTTTCTGTTGTATGAAAAAAATCCCAAATGTACGAAGTTATAGTATCATACTATTCTAGTGAATGATATGAACTAAAAATTTGTCTCTTTCTTTGAATAGGTCTTGTTATTGGTTGTTTACCAGTTTATGGTCTTCGACTTTCGACACTTGAATGTTTTTACAACTCAACATGCTTGCAAAGACTAGCTACTTTTCTTAATACTTTCTATGATCTACCACCTCTGAATATTTCATTATATTCTCGTTTCACACCAATATCATCAACAACAATTGGAACATTGATTGATGAACTATTTATTGAAACATGGTATAATACAAGTAATTATTCGAGTTATTTTTCTAGTTGTGCACCATTAACATGTCACTATAGCTATGTGAAAAGAAACAGTATATTACATATGATAACAACATATCTGGGTTTATTTGGTGGATTAACTGTTGGATTAAAATATGTTGTTTGGTATGGTTTATGTTTGTATTGGAAAGTACGTCAATTGTGTACTAATGTTCGAAGTCGAGTTGAACCTGTGAATAATACTAATTGAGAACTTTGTGATATGAAATGCTTTATTGTTTTCTAATTGTTAATGTTGTACATTGCTGTTGATTGTTGTAATACTATTTATTATTATAAAGAATTATTCTATTCATATTGGCGATGAACTATCTATTGAATTTCTCTTCAGAGAAAATCGAGAGATAACTAGTAGAATTTCAATGGTTAATGCACTATTTCTAAATGACATGTAGTATACATAATAAATATGATAAGAAAGAAAAATTCAGTTAAGTGATGGAATCGTCAAAGAGAATATAACAAGGATGTGGGTGTGGGTGTGTATATGGGTGAGGGTATGAATAAGATATACCCACACCCTCGAGATGGAGTTTTCTCACTTGTTCAACATTATTTGTTTCGTATACTTTATAAAGATCTGAGATTTCTGATAGTTGAATGGCTAGTACTATAGGCAGAGTGGCTGCGGTATAACAAACATTTCACATTCTTATATAAATAAAAAGTGTTTGAGTTCTGTGTCCGTTATTTATATCGAACACGGTTGTTTTCTCAAGTATTGCACGTAAAGAAAGTGTCACCAAATAACTAATGAAACAGAAAATAATATTCTATGATTTTTCTTCTTTACGTCTGACTTTTCATCTTAAAAACCATCTTAATACTGTTTGAAGAAAAATGAATCTTTTTCTCATTTGAAGTTGTTTTTATCTGTAATGCTTGAATGAAAAATCATGGCTTTTCAAACTCTTGTCTTTACAGGTCTTCTGATATAAGAGATGTGAGAGATATAGAAGAGAATATTGATACAGAAGGCATGAGCTTCCCTCCTCTCCACACGTGAAATAAGAGCTGCAGGAGATATAGCAAGTGTACAAGACATAGGAGATACATTATTTCTCGTCCTTGCTCGAGAATTAGCGGCAACATTTCAGTAATTGTCAAGAAACCCTTTCCATTTTACTTCAATAATGTTTTATTTCGTGGCTTCACTTGTCTCTGAATTTAAGAATTATTAAAAAGAATAGATCATATATGTAAACACTTTCTATATCCCCTGTACCAGTCTTCTCTTTTATATCTCTAACATCTCTTGTATCGGTTACAGTTGACCTCTAAGGATTCAATCAAATTTTTGGAAAAATCTAAAAAATCATTTTTTCCAGTATTTACGGAATTTTCTCTTTCTATGCAAATATCTGAATAAGCAAGTGCTTTCAACTGTCATTCGATGGCGAATATCATCTATACATGACGTGTGTGGCAATACTCACCAAGCGATTGATTGTTCAGATAAATATTAGGCAGAATATGCATGACGTTTTAAACAACCAACTGCTATTTATTTCCAACTATATAAATGAGATTATGCGCAGTTTACTTGTTTTTCTTCTTTACATGAATTTGCTACATCAAAGTAATATTAGTTTAGTTGAACGCATAAAAAATGGTAATCTTTGTCGTAGAGTATTATTAAAGACGAAAAAGAATAAGTTGATGTTCCGATGATACTTCTTTGGCATTATAAAACGCTATGGAGACCGGTTTCTTACCTTTTAACTCATTTCTCTCTCACTAATTGAAAACAGCATGTACTGCATGTAGCGATCAACACTATTAGAAACTTTTATATATTAAATGTTGAAGTGAGTGAGGCACATAAAATAGTCTTTTACCATATTCTTTATGAATCAAAATACTCAAGTTTTTTTCTTTTGGAAATAGAAAAAGATAATTTACTTGGTATCCTACCAACAGTTTTCAGAAAAAGAGGATTTTATTAAAAAAGAGACCGGAAAAAGACTTTCAAGAAGAAGAGGGAAAAGAGACGGAGTGGAATGCGAGTAAGTGTTTACCAGTTAGATAATGTAGAAAGACTATATTCTTTGCTTACTATAATTCATTTTCTATTTTTTAGCATCGAAAACATTTTACAATATATTCATACACAGTGTAGAGACGAAGTCTATTCAGTCTCTTACAAAGAGATAATTTAAGAATATATCATCAGAATACATTAATTCTGTTGATATGTTAATGTTATTCTCGTATAGAAAACACTAGAGAACTACTTGCTTTTATTTAATCACGCTTTTCTCTTTTTTAAACATCTTCTTTATCTGCAAATGTTGATTTGTCACACCCGATATATATGGAAAGAATAAATATGAGACTGCATAAAAACAAGAACAATATTAATAGCGTATAGAAATGAACTGTATTTCATAAATATTAGATTTACTCCATATAAATAACATTCAAGGAGCTCAAAAAAGAATATCTCATTCCAGTATTGTGCTTTAATATAGTGAACAGTCTACAATTTGTAAGGATTGTTAATCTACTCTTTTTAATGTTAACTTTACAACATGCATATATTTTTCAAAGTACGATCTCTGTAAGAAAATTTGATTGAAACTTCGAAATATTTTGTGTGACTTTAATAAACATCGCCAAAACTCGGCAATTGTATCACCTTTCAATCAGAATGCAAATCATTTTCATGTACTTACTGATGCATTATGTTGTATCTATAGGTAAAACAGTGATTGATAACAAAGAAAACCATCTGAAAAGGTTGACTGATTAAGCTAAATAATACATAAGATGATTTATTTATTTTATATAGTTTTATAATTCATTTATTCGTTCTTAATGACAAAAGAAACTTTAACAAAAAAACTATTGCCCATTAATATTGTTTGTGTCATTAAAATCAGTTTCAATCATGTTCCACAGCGAATTTTTGTACACGATGGTTCATCGTATCAACAACATAAAGATTTCCTTGTCGATCAAACGATAAATCTTGAGGAACAAAAAGCTGTCGGGTTCCTTTTCCACACCCCTGTCCACCAGCAATAGTACCATTGAATATTGCGCCTGGTAGCCAGCGTGTTATTTGACATGTCATTGCATTTGATACGTAGATGTTACCCACACAATCAATAACTACTCCTGAAAGACGAGGTGGACTATTGGGCTTCGTTTCGTTTATACGTCCACGAGCAACAATAGTTCCGTTTTTTGCATCTTTCTTCCATTCCATCGCTTCACCATTCACTGAATCCGCTACATAAACTGAATAATATTCATCAATGAAAATATAAGCAAAATTGTATACCCAATTCGTCGGACCTGTATTTCGACTTTTGCCTGCTACTTTTATTCCGCTCGTTTGTCCTTCTTTCCAGCGACTGACTTCATCTTTTATCATGTCAGAAACATAAAGATCACCATTATTATCCATGGCCAAACTCCAACAACGAATCTGAGGAATTCTTATTTGTTGTAATGTTATATAACCTTGACGAAACCATTTTACTACTCGATCGTTTTTAAAATCACAAATAATAAGAGAACTATCCTTTTTATTCAAAATGGCATCTGATGGATTTCTCAACTGATCTATCCGATTTCCAATTCCATTTCCACCAGCAACAACTTCACCGATGGTGTCGTTGAATCCCCATCTGACAATACGGTGGTTGTTATAGTCACTAATATATAAATTTTCATTATCATCATCAACATAGACACTGACGGGCTCATCGAGTTGATTTGCTTCATTTCCTTTGCCATGTCCACCAGCGACAGTCGACGCATCTTGTTTCCATGTGGTATTGGAATTGACGATACAAGGAGGAGGTAATTGTTCTATGAAATAATAACAGAAAATATTTGCATTTATTTTGTTTTTTTTTGCTGATCAAAATCGATAAAAATACAGATGTGCTGAAAGAGAAGTTTGATTTTGCTAAGAGTGAATAAGTCAATTACATAAAAAAAATCAAATAGTTTTCGCGTATTTCGATAGTTAACTTTTGGATTCACTCCACATAAATCACATTTAATTGTATTCAATAAGGGATATCTCTTCTCTGTTTGCAACGTCAAATAGTTATTTACTCATTCTATTTTGAAAGGTACGCATCGATCCCAATCCTAGCGAACTCAAACTCTGTATTGTTTTCAATGAATACGAATAAACATTCATGTTAGATTCAATCCGATGGGACAAATGCATACATAATTTCAGTAGTGATAAACATCACACATTCCTACTGGGACAAAACGAACAATTTTTCCCGAAAGTTGATCGATAACCGCATTATTTGTTTTCTTTTTACTTCAATGATTAGTTCTTACGAAATATTCTTCTATGTGCTGAAAATTTCATTACGGATTTGAAAAAACTTTTGATTTTGTTGCTTACAAATACAATGCGTGAACTCTTATGATAAACAATGAAGTTCTATTTCTGTCACCTGAAATAATTCATCTTATATTAATCTCAAAATAAATAATTGTCTCATTTTGACTACCTGTTGTTGTTTCCATTTTTTCTGTTGTTTCTCCAGTTGTTGATGTTTCTTCACTGTTGGTCTTTTTTGTTTTGAGGACAACAACTGAAATCGTTGTAATCAAAGCAATAATAATAATCAATACGATCCACATGAATTTTCTTTTTCGAAAACGTTCACATCTAGAATAATTGACCTCTTCTATCATTATCTACAATATATAATATACATACAATGTTACTGGTTGCGTTGCATTAGGATTAACTGTTGCGGACTAAAATAATCGAAAAAAGACAAAGATTACATTTTGTGGTTTTTATTTTTCTAAATAAATTACATCATAAACATCGATTCTGTTGTTGCTGTTCATTGTTGATATCTTGTCAAAAGTGTAATACTCTTACAATCTAAAATATATTTAAAAAATTTTGCCATTTGCGTATTTTCGAACATTAATAATGCAATTATAAAACACTCTTAACTGTTAATTGAAATCTATATTTCGAGTAATATCTAACATTCCTTACCGACTAGTCTGGTGATATAAAAAAACGAGAATGCAGAAACAAATTTAGATATTGTTTTCTCACTTAAAAGCTTTTCAGTCCAATCTGAACTAGCAAAATTGTTAAAATAATAGAAAAAATATATATCATGCTCTCTCTCTCTTTCTTGAATAACCAATTCTTTTCTGACGTATATCATGGTGCTAATATAAAACATTTGCAACAAAATATCATATATATCAATAAAAAACAATGTGCGCATTTCCTTTTTCAATGTTAATTTTGAAAATACTCTTATCAGATAGAGTTGTTAACTCTTTTAACTATGAAACTGTTTGAGACAATATTTAGTGTAATTATTAGTTAATAAAACACTGAAAATCAGCGCTGTTTAAAAGGTATGCAACATTTCCTGGCAGAGAAAAAACTAACGTTAAAATGTTTTACTACACAAGATACTTCTACATGAATTGAAAATTAAATATTATGTATGATTAGAAATATCTTAGATTATATTATATCACAGAATAGATAAATAGTAATGAAAATGGAATTTACTGTCTTTACATTGGGTCAACGGGATGTCGAAATGGAACATCCAGAAAAAAAACAATTAAAACTTGATCTTTACTCAGTTTTAATCTATTGAGTATGATTCGTGAATAGAGATAATCGTAATTACGTTTGTCATTACAATCATACCGCATGTGATACGTACCGATTTTCTAACAATTACAGTTGGATGTGAATGTTAGCGATTATAGATATTATATTTTTCTCTCGGTAAATTCCACACTTTGAAAAATCTTTTTATTTTTCTTTTAGTCGTTTTCTTCATTAGTGAAACAAATTTTCAGATTTGTGCTTTAACTATATGATTAAATATATATGTAGAGATGGTGAACACCAAGATAACATCAATGGTTAAGTCTTGTGTAATACTATGAAGTCCTGAAAACTACTGTTTTTTCTTTGAATAAACATATGGCAGATGAATACATTAGTTTTACCCTTGATGCAAATTCATCCTCATTTTCATTTCTACTCATATGAATCTATTGTTAAAGTATTTTATCGACGCAATATCTTTTTGACAATAATTGGATATCTAACAACATAGTTAAAGCTTAACTCCATAGTTACTCAAATGAATAGAAAATAATAAAATATTTTATTCAAATACATGCTTTTCTCTCCGGAAACTTGACGGTTCCTTCAAAAAGTGTCGATTTTCAATATTTTTCTTTTTATAAAAATATCCATATTGACTATTGTTTAAACTAGTTTAGTTTCACATGCTACCTCGTATATTTCGACATTTACAATAGATAACATTTTACTTAAAATTCATCTGGAACAAGAAAATGATCTTGTTGTTTTCATTGACATATGATGTTTTTTACAAATATTTCATATAAAAACGATTATATACAGTGGATATCAAAATCATTTATTCATTATTATCTTTATTTAAAATCAAACAAATACATAAAATTAAAGTGAAAGATATCGTTTGACGATCTATTTCTTGATGCTTAATAATTTAAATAATGTCGAATATAGTTGTTGATTCTATTAAAAACATCTTCTCGTTTATTTTATTCTACAGAAATATTTCTATTTTATTATTGATCATCTGATAAAAAACCTTGCAAATAATTTCTAAAATTTATTCATTTTTCTGTTCATATCAATCTAATAATAAAATATATTCTTCTGCATTTTTTTCATTTATTATTATTCATAAATCATTAATTGTTATTGATATTTGTCTTCTATCGAATGAAATAAAAACAAGTAGTTTCTTTTTAGTTACATTTTCCAATAATTAACTATGATAATTGCCTTGAATGATAAAAAAAACTCTTGTATATATTACTAAAAAGTGAACATTTTAAAAACATGAAGTTTATTTTTTTTCTGAAATAATTGCAACAAATACAACGTTCGAGTTTATCAATAAATAAAAACGATGAATCCGTTTCCTTTTTCAAAACTAATATGAAATGTCGGGTGTTATTTGGTGTAAATATAAAAATGTTCATGATATCGAAGGTTTATAGGAAGGATATGAAAACAAAATGTTTCAAACAAAATTTAATGTTGTTATTGTTAAGAATACATCTAAAATAATGCCTTTATAGAGGAAATACAATGATTCCTGACGAATAAAATAAAAAATTTTTTGAGAAAAAAATGTTTTTGTTATTTTGTATTGAGTTGAAAGAGAAAATATATCAAACATTGTCTGTTATCAGGAATGAATTGTACAATTGACTTTATTCTTTTGTGTCACAGATTGGAGAAATGATGAGAAAAGTGTAATTGTTTATCTTCAGTATGAATCTACGTCAAATACTGTTCAACAATATGAATATTATCGAAACACATTAAATCTATTAGAAATAAATGTATAAACAAAAGAATTAGAATTCTACAGAATAATGTCATATTCACATTCAATAAAATCAACTGAAGTCATAGTTTTATTATCCTTGGAAGTTATTTATCATGACGAATAATTATGATCAAATTAAGTTATTAATTATTTCTTGTATACACTGTAGAAATAGGAAAGGCTGTAGAGAAGAAAAATAACATACGGAAAATATTCTATATTGGCATGTATAGGAGAACAAAGAAGAGAACATTATACTGAGACTGATATCGTGAGTAAATAATTGTAAAATGTTGAATACTTTCATAGAATTAACGATATTTTCTACTATTCGCTCAGAATTCAACTGACAAAGTTAAAATTATTTATTATGATGAAGAATAAAACTACTGAAGAAGAGTTAATTTATTCTATCAAATGTAGATAAATATTTCGAAATTTGTTTTTCTGAAAAGGAAACTCAGCAGAGTCTAGAATTAAACTGAATATTATGGAAATATCCTCTTTCTCTTAATTATCTGAGGTTTTGTTTATTCAACTCAAAAATTCATTATATTTTATGAAATAAAAGATTTATAATGCAAATAGGGTATGAATGTAGATAGAGTAGTGTACAATGACATCCACACCCACCGTTTTTGTCTATGTATGTTGTGAAAATTTTGTTTTCCTTTTGTGATTTTAAGAACAACAATTAACAAATAATAACACATCTATGCTATTTATCTTTTTTCTCTTTTTTTTGTTATGAAAATAATTTCTTTGTATAATTCATTTTTCTTTTGTATGTATGAACATCTAAACACAAATTTATACTTTTGAGTTACCACCACATTCAAAATAAGTAATGTGTGCGTACGAATAAGGTAAATTAACTAAATATTTATAATCATCATGTAATCAAACAGTTGTTTTTTAAGCAACACAAAGACATACACTACGACAAGATATAATCGGATGTCTCTTCAAGTTCTATCTGTATGTTATACGTACATAGAGGAATTCAATAAAAAAATCCGATTAATGAAGCTCTTATACCGTTCATGATTCTGTCTTCCTTGATATATATGTACATCAAGATCGACACATGAAAATTTTGTTCTGTCGTTAATACATCATTTGATATAATTTATTCTGTGTTTTTATGTAGTATTTGGTCTGGCACATCTTTGAGTCTCCTAATAGTTTAATCTCTAAATGAGTAGACGTGTGACAGATCTCAGTTTTAGAACTGTCACTCGTCTAGTGATGAGTCCTCTCAATACGATAAGAAAAAGTTTGATCATCATTATTCTGTAATATCATATTGGATTTGATTGTTTCACCATCTTGTATAAAACTATGATTATTTAACATAATTAATTGAATATTTTGAAAACTATAGAGAAATGTTTGTTCATATTCAATTGTAATTGAACGAGTTTTGAAATTTTTGATTTGTATATTGATCTCATAAATAGATAATTTGCGAGTAGAAGTGTGTATTGTCTGTGTTTCATGTTGATGATTTTCTTCTAATTTCGTTGAAGAGATCAATGATACATTCTCTTTATAAAAAATATCAGTATCTTGTCCAATTGAGAAGTGATATTTATCTTTTGCACCAAGATTAGGTAAAAAAGTTTCACCAACAATTCTATCCGATTCTCTGATAATGCAACTAATAAATAAATTAGAAAAGATCCCTGCTAGTTGTAGAAATGTAAAAATAGATTTCTTACTTTCCACGTGACAGATATCGATCGGATCTAAGACGATATGATCGTTGAGCATAGCCTGTATTTGATGTTGTTTGAAAGTATTTTGATATTAATCCATAACGTTCAACAGTAACATGTGGATGAAACATTGGTAAAAGATAATTTGTTTTTGCATCGATTGTAAATGGTTGATTTATAGTAAAAACATAGAGTCCGAACAATTCTGTACCTTGCTCAATCGTTGTTGTTTTTGCCATAGTTGTTGCTGTTGTTGTTGTCATAGTTGTTGTTGTAAAATAGGCTACTGTTTCTCTTGATCGAGTATTTAGATTAACATCACCACCGATAAGTTCAGCATGATCAATTGATATAGGCGATTTTCCATCATTTCGAATATTCGCCATAGCAATAAGTGTACTATTGTTTTCGTATAAATTCAGTTGATACTGTGTATGCCATTTGAGATTTGAACGAAGATAAGTGACATGTACTTGTGAATCTGTAGTATCATAAGTAAAATTAACATAGAATTTTGATTTTGGTGGTTGCTCTAGATAAAAAATATGATCGGGTGGGACGCTAAAAAATAAAGTTTGTTGACCAGCAATTGATTCATCTTGGATTTTAACTAAATAATTATGTTCATCGATAAGAATACCTTGAACAAAAATGAGTGTACTTTTATCTAATGATATTGGCGAACGAATATAAATTTTAGCGCCATTGAGCGATTTGCGTTTTTCACTTATTGTTTGTGATGTAATGTGAATGTTATCGCTAAGAAGTGTGATAGAATCGGAGCGAATTTCATTCCACTCATCATCGGTAAATTCCAGTGGTAATTTGTCAAGTAAATATATTATTTCTGCTTGATTTGAATAAATTCGTACGGAGTAAGATGGATTATTTTCACTTTTGATGAGAACCAAAACAAACATAAAGAAAATAAGAATACGAGATAACATTGTCGGTAGAAAATCAGAGCACTGTTTAGAGAATGATTCGAATGCTATAGTAAATGTACTTTGATTATCAAGTACACTTGTTGTTATTTTGTTAAAAAGTTTTTCTCGTTTAAACCAATGATACGTCAACAACTGTGACTTTACTAGGCAGATTACGCATTTTCCAACCACTATCCTGCATTTCCTCGACGACGGTGTTTTTTTACTACCTGTTGTTATACAGAAGATGTCGGGAACAGAGTATGAAAACTCTCGTTCATAAAGTGCATTTCCATTTTTTTCAAAATACATGTATTATGTCAAATTTTGTTTTTAAATTGAGAATAAACAATATGAAAAAGTTTGAGATTTTAGTATGTCCTTCTGGATAGAAATCTTGTAAAGAGATGTAATTTATTCGATAAAAAAAAGAACATTATACTCAAAATAAGTTTATAATTTATATAGAAAAGATTAACTAAGAAAACGAGTTTTAGATCGAACACGTGATAATTAAAGAATGTATTTGATATATCTGTTTGATAATCATCAAAGATGCAGAATCTGGTTATAGCATGAATAATTTACTATTGTATGAGTAAATTCTATAATTGTGAAGTTATAGAATCGATTTGTTAAATAAAACCAATTGATCGAAATTGAAACACATGATTTCATGTTTAAGATTTGAAATAAAATTCTTAAATATCTGTTTCTACGACGTTTTTCTGTTGCTTTTCTTATTGAATGGATTATATTAACAGTACTGTAGTTCGAATCTCAATTATAGCAGAAAAATAAAATTCTCTTTATGAATATTTTCAAAAAATAATGTTAACCAAATGAAGATTAATTGATAGATTTTGCCACTGAGCTGATTAATGCTGAGATACATACCGCTGATGGTTAATAAAAAGAAAATATTTCTTTTTAGCTCCACGGCAGATGTAACAAATCCTATGTAATCAATATTAAAATTTATTTACAAATAATAATTTTTATTGGTCAATTATTGACTTTAAGAATAATTCCTTAGCTAGCTTGTGATAGTTTAAGTTTACAGTGGTACTTCCTTCACAAAATATTATTTCCAATCTAGTACATATTTTTAAAAAATATAGTTCCATTCAAAATATCATCTAATGAACACTTTTGTTCATCTGTTTTTAGTTACGAAAAATGTAATAATTATTTTATATTCTTGATATGTATTTTTTCCATAAAATAAAAACATGTATAACAAAATAGATGCAAATATATACAAAATGTAAAATGTTCCTGTTACCTTTATCGAACTACACGAGAACGAGAAACTTTCGGTAAGAAATCTCTCTTATCTTCGCGATGTAAATGCATTCGATTATTAATTAATTCAGGACAAGGTTGACCCTGTCGAAGTTTTCGAATTGTTGGAAAAAAATGTTTCGTTAACTGTTCAATTCTTTTATGAAGGCGTTCATTTGATGATATAACTGATTCATGCGATAAATTTTCTAATGATGATGTATTTGGTGCTCGTAAATAAATATCACTTGAATTAAATATATGTTTAAATGTTTTTCTACTATGTAAAACTTTAACGTTTGTTAATTGTGGATGATGAATATTTGGCCACATACGATCTTTTGTTTTCGTTATTAAAGATTCATCGAATAATTCATCTGATTTACATACAAGTTGATTGTTAGATAATGTTAGAGATTGTCTACAATCATTTTTATTACGTTTTATTGTCGTAGGTACAGCATGTAAAGTTTGTTCAGAATAATCAGAACTAATTAATGCATTGGATACTGAACCACTTATTGATGATGATGAATCTTTTGATATTACAGGCATTTCAACACATAAACTAACGAGCATTGGACCAGTAAGATGATTTAAATGACCAGGAGATCGAACTTTTGTTGTCCTGTTATTTAATTTTTTATTATTATCATGAAGAGGTTTTTGATATGATGATAATAGACTTTGTTTTAAAGGTTCTGTACAATAAATTTCATATGAATCATTTTTAATAATTGGTAATGATAAATTAACTCGATGAATTGGACAAGTTTCGTTTTTTACCATGACTGTATTTTCTTTCTGTATGAAAAAAAATATTTCGTTAATAAAAACTCGAATAAATCAATTACTCTTTGTTCTCTTATGTATGATTCGGACATATTTTATTTATAATAACAATAGAAAACAAATAGTTGTATTAATTTCAACAGAAGTTTTGATTAACATTGTCTTTCTTTCTTTATCATGAAACCTTTTTCTTATTTGACTTGTCCAATGTTTATTTACAATTTAGATTCTCATATCAATAACTATACTCATCGATCGAAGAAAGAAATTAAGTGAAAAGAATCCCTAGTGATTTCTTTCTCATGTTATTATACCATGGTGGTCCGCCCTCAATTAATCCTTTGTGACCAACAGCTACTTCCGCTCGTTAATTGCACGATACTGGACAGCTGTCTATTTCATTGAGAAAAAGAACAAAAAACAAAATAATGCTTCTTTCTTTCTTTTTTGTCTCAATTAATTATTGTTAAGATTCTTGCTATTTTTATTGGATAGAATATACATCGAATGTTATCATTGATTCTCTGATTACTATTGGATGATATTATAGAGAGAAAGAGAGAGACAATATAATCAAAAAAATAATCAAATCACACAGCAAGCTGAGATAGAATCGATGAATGATAATAGATTATCGAAGGTGACGTATGATGCGTAGCTAAGAAAAATATTGACGATTGGATCATAATCAAACAATAACATATAACATCATACTTCAATTTTTATAATCACTTGCACATTGATAATGATGATAGTTGATTCTAGTTTGCACAGCAAGAGAAAGAATTTTATTGACTTATACATAAAAAAACGTAAATCTTATATTACGATAACTATATAATAAATAAATAGTTAACATTAAAAATAATTATATTCTATGTAAACATATAAAATACAATAGATATCACATTCATTCGAAAATTTAGACAAGCAAATTGAATTCAAGGAAATTAATACGATAAAAATTGAATCTACATTTTCTATATATTTCATTTATACAATATGTTTGCTATCAATATATGATATTCACACATGCAATTACACTCTCTTATCTCCGTGTGTCGTCTTTCGATCAGACAGTTCTATCAGAAGAACAATTTAGGACTTATTGGTATTTAGGTAACCTTTACATAAAAAGAACTGTCATCTCATCTATATAACCAGGTATTGTCTTAATCTATCATTCTATGTATTTAATGATAACAATCAATGATATACTACTGGTTGATGTTTATATTCAAGCAAGCACATACGTTCTAAAAATAATATCTCGCTTTTTTCTCTCTCTCCCTCGCTAACTTTCTATCCAATCGTTATCATACAAATGATGATTCTCAGGAAAATAATGAGATATCTCTTTCTTTTTCTCGTACTGTGCTTTACTCAGTAGGATATGCAAACGATCATTGTTATACTCTTATTGGTTCTCAATCATATATATATATATAATCAGAAGTAGTTAAAGATTCATTTTGATATTGTCTTATTAAGAAGGATAAAAAAATGACTTTTACGGATAAACCATTACCATTTTCAATTGATGATATACTTAAATATGAGAAATCTAAAACATCAATTTATTCAACAATTATACCACGATCTTATCAACTTCCATCATTAATACCATCATCTTATCTCTCATTTGCAACATCAAATAAACACTCATGTTCTGGTAATTTTGTTTTAAATAATCAAATGTTTTTTTTTATTTATTTGATTTTGAAGAACATCGATCAACATCATGTAATTCAAGTTTACATAATTGTCATTTATCAGCATTACAATTAAATTCAACATATCCAAATATGGACACATTTATTCATCATCGACGTTGTCGACGAACACGAACAGTTTTTTCAGGTAAATTTTATTATACATAATAATAACATTTCTTAGTTTGTTTTTTATTTTTGTAAAGATGCTCAATTACTTGGTCTTGAAAAACGTTTTGAAACACAAAAATATCTCTCAACACCAGATCGTATTGAACTTGCTGATCTGTTACATTTATCTCAATTACAAGTTAAAACTTGGTATATATATATGATCTATTTATTCTTTCGAAAATCTAGTTTCTTCATTTTAGGTATCAAAATCGTCGAATGAAATGGAAAAAACTAGTATAAATATTTGATGAATATTGTTTTTTTTCTAATCGTTTTTCATTTTTAGGTATTACAACAAGGATGTAAAGAAGCACCAACAAAACCAAAAGGTCGTCCAAAAAAGAATTCAATACCATCTTATGCTGAATTACAAAGAATTGAAAGTGAAAAACAAATCAGTACTTTAACAGTTTCATCTTCATGTACATCTGATGATGATGAAAATACATCACATTCAATACATTATACGGATGACGATGATGACGACGATGATAATGAAGATCAATTTATTGATATTGAACAATAGAATTCAAACTGTTTTCTTCCTATACCATATACTCTATAAATTACTTAATTTTATCGAATTAGTATTCAGTTAAATAGTTACTTATGATTATTTTATAGTTAAAAGCATGAATGAGAAAACATACACAAAATATGAGTTTAGAAACTAAAAACGTCTTCCTTTTTTTGCATGTTTTAAAAAAGAAAGATACTTGTCAATTTAATTATAATTTATATGTAAAATAATACTTTGTTGAAAACAATATTTATTATAAAAGAAAAAAAAAAGAACAAATGTGTTGATTTAATTGATATAGAAAATTAAATAGAAATTAATATAAGATGAATATCTTGAGAAGAACAATAGCTACACTGATCTGCATTTTCCACCAATCGAAAGAAGTTGAATTGCCGCATCATTTTCTTCAATAGTATGTAATATGAAGGTCTTGTAGAACTAATTATCTTTATATAGCAAGATATGCGACAGAATGCATGAAAATGATCTACCATCTAGATAAAATTTGGCTTTTTATCTTCGACTTAGATAGAAGGATTTTAGGATTATAGCTCAAAATACAATGTAAATGGTTTTGTACTTCTAGTCATATATGCTTGACATTCTGATAGAAATGTATTGCACAGTTAGAAAGCGCATTAAATTTTGAACTATAGATCACTAGCTACTGCTATTCTCAAGATAATCGATTTATACTTTAGTTCTACCTGATTCCGGTACTGACAATGATGATTCTTTTTGCTGAAGTCTTCTGTCTATATTTTACATATTTGCTTGTATATATACAAACCAATATTTGACATAAAGGTGGAAAATTTCAGAGAATAGACTCATTCGTGAACTTAGATAGTTTAGTGAGTTTCGAAATCTGATTTAAATCGAATCTATAGAATTTGGATTTGTTTTTTTATCGATAACATAATTTAAATTATGAGAAGAAAATCCTAAATGTAAAGGGTTCAATTGAACGTTCACTCTCGATTAGATACTATCTCATATTCTCAGCTATCACCCCGCTTAACTTCTTCTATTTCATGAGAAGATGTTGAATGAAATTCAAGCTAATACTAATATAGCATTCATAATTATTTAGCTCGAATTTACCTTCATATGATAAGGAAGAGGTTTAACTGCTCCGTATTTTTTCTGAATCGTTTTTTATATATTAGTTAGTTGATATCTCTGTGGTTTTTCTTTTGTTCATGTGTTTATGTTTTTTCTCTAGTTGTTCTTGTTAGTTTTTTATCTTTTTATTTTTTCTCTATTATCTTATGTACTGTAAGGACCTTCTGGTCGTCAGTTTATGCGTAAATAAAAAAAAATTATTTAGTTTGAAGGATATAAAAACTTGTGCTTTTTGATTGAAATCAATTGCTTTCAGTGTTATATCAAATTACTTTTTGATATTGATATAAATATTTTATTTCAAGCACATCTTAAAATTCGTGTGCTTGTACAATAATTCAAAACAAAGACTGTACATGAAAAGAAAAAAAAACGAAGAGATAATTAATTCATCGTATACATTATACAACTAATTCTAAAAATAAAATAAAGACAAATATTATATTGTGATCTTTCTTCATTGACTAGACTTGATATGAGAAATACAAGCAAAAAACATTTCTTTAACAAGAAGTCATAACAAGACAATTTCCACATAATTTCGTTTGTCCAATACAATCATCATGACAATATGCACCACATTTCTTACAAGCAATTAATGGTTTACATTCACATGTACATTTATAATTCATTGGTCGACTATTTGCTAATGATGCTGAAAGTGTTTCAAATAATTGTTGTTTTCGTGTTGAATCATTTCCATTTGATACTTGATGAATTGTACGTGTAGGAATTTGTTGTTGTGGAATAAATGTTGTTGTAGATGTTGTAGTTGGAACACGAACAGTTGTAGATATAGCTTGTTGTTGAACGAGATTTGCAATTGATGTTGTTGAAGATTCTAAGGATGCTGCTGATGTTGTTGTTGTGGATGGAGAATCACGACGGATAATTTGTTGAAAAAATACATGTTGTTGAGGTGTTAATGTTGCTGTTGTATTTGTTGGAATTAATTTTGCTGATTGCTGCTGAGGAACATTCACAACAAATGCATTTAAACGTGCTTGTAATGTCTGTTGTTGAGTATGTGATGTTGATGAAGAATCTGTACGAGCAACAAGTAATGTTGGACGTGATATAGATGAATCGTAATTACCTAAAGAAAAAATCAGAGATTAGGATAAAAATCAATACAATTTATTTCTAGTAATTTCTCATGGATATATACCAAATATTTCATTAGAATCTTTTTAAAATCATATTCAACTCATGCTTGTACTTTCGTTTAGCATTATTTTTAATATCTCCATGTACAAAAATAGGAAATTGTTTCTATAAGTTTATCAATGTATACATAAATCCATAGATTAATTATACTCATTTATTCTAAGAAATGATAGATGTTCTTATGATAAAACTAAGATACTATTCTGTCATCGATTGTATATTCTATAAATAGACAAACTTTTTCTATACTTATATAACAGTGAATAGGATAGAAATCATATAAATTATGTTTTGACTTATTATCATCCATTAATAAAAGAATTGTCAAATGTATATCTTACCAGTATCCATTGCTTGTTGTTGTTGCTGTTGTTGTTGTTGAAAATTAATTTTTGCAACTTGATTTCTTGCGACTGCTTTTAATGCAAGTGCTTGTGCATTTTTTGTTGTTTGTGAAATATTTGTTGTCATCCAACTAGATGTTGTTTCATTGTTGATTTTTTTATTAGTTGCTGGTGCAATAGGTGAATATGATGTTGTTGATGGTTGATGTTTAACAGGTGATGCAAGAACAATATGCATCGGTTCAACAAATTCACCATTTGTTTTAATTAATATTTGTTGTAATGATTCTCTATCAAGTGTATTTTTCTTTGTTTTTTTACCTTTAATAATAGTTCCACTATCTTTTATTATTTTTGGTGATGTACTATCCGATTTAGCACCTTTCTTTTTCGGTGTACGAACAGGTGATGTTGTGATTGTAGATGTAGGAATTGTTGAAAGCATCATTGTATTAATACTGGGTAATGAAACAGTCGGATCAGATGAAAGAAATGCAAGCAGATCATCGGATGATGATTGATATTTAACTGGAGATACTAGAGAAAAGAATTTGATGTCAAAAGTAATGGTGAACTAAATATTCAATAGGGAAAAAACGTTTTCCTTTGATTTTTTTCTTTCTTTCTGTATAAACGTGTATGTTATTGTTAACACTTCATGATTAATTGCCCATTCAATGAAATTAGGATATAATGAAATCAACCTTTAGTTTACTTTTTACTTCAAAGGAATTTTATGCGTAGTAAAATATTAGTTTAAATTTAAATGAAAAATAATATCTTACTTGTTTCATTAGAATTTAATGATTGATTTTGAGAGATTGTTTGTGGTTCTTGTTTAATATTAGCTGTAATATTTTCAACAATCATTGTTGTTTGTTGATGATCTGATTGATGAGTTTGACCAACTGATTTTAATTCTTGTAAAATACTATCAAAATCAGGTATAATTTGTGAATTAGAATTTATTTGTTGTTGTTGTTGTTGCTGCTGGTGCTGTTGATTAGACTGTGAATTTGAATGATTAGTTGTCGCTTCACTGATATTATCAAGCATTGATACAGTAAATTGATCGAGTGTTTCAGAAAGATCGTCAAACAAAAGTTGTGTTACTGAGTTATTATTATTATGATTATTATTATTGTTGTTGGTATTCTACATAGAGAGAAAAGAGAAGAAATAATGTTGAAATCAATATGTTGTCGTTTTCTTTTTTCTTCTTTTTCTTCTTCTTCAATATGTTTGAAAAAGCATAGTGCAACAAATATGCACACATACGATCGATCATCAATTTTCTTCTTTTCTTCGTTATATATTGTGAGTTCATTCGAATCACATTTAGTTCTATTCTCTCTTTTTTCTGTTCTTCTTTCTTTTCTCGTCCCATCCTCCTTTTTCTATTGCCGCGTTCATTCTCAATGTCAGAAGCGCGTATACGATAGTCGGTCGATTCGACGTCGTCGCCGTCTTTTTGTTATAACGATTAAACACAGTTTAACATTTCTCTACAATATATATATATGTGTACTCATAGCTGCTAGATCGCCGGTGTCGACAAAATATGATGAGAGGACACAAGCATGCGAGACACATACAACTCATGATTAAGTTCAGTGTTCACTTTTCTTTTTTCCTTTTTTCTCTTCTTCATTTTTGATTAGGAGGAGAAGGCTTTGAGAAAAAAGAAATGATATATGACATAAATATGAAAAAAAAATGAGTGGTGCGGATGATGAAAATGAATATATATATTATTTGAACAAGTTGTGATAGTCATAATAACAAGAGAATTGTAATGACGAAGATGATGGATCTTGAAATTGAAGACAAAAGAAGAAATACTTGTATATATATTTTCTTTTTTTCTCTTCCGGACTAACTAGAGTTAGTGCTGAGACTGTCGGTGCACCATGTCGTACTTATTCTTTCTTTTTTTTCCTCTTCAAAAAGAAAACGCTCATGTGAGTGATTTTTTTTCTCTTTCCTTTGTCTTGTCCCGTCTCGTCTATCAAACATACATTGAAAATGATTATCATCAAAGTGTTTTGACTTGCTGCTTTTGCGTGCGTTAAATATAGATTTACTGTCGATACAGTTCGAGATAAATAGCAATGAAACGATGAGAATAAGTAAAAGAACGAACGTAAACGATCAGATTTTTGCCGTATTGACGGCAAGTAAAGAAAAATCTGACAACGACGAGAAAAGAGAGAGAGAGGCAAAGTGTGGGTATGTGTCATTGTCAAAATGAAACAAATTTTTGTTGGATGTCTTATCGATAGAGTGAAAAGAGAGACAGAAGAACAAAAGAGAAAGTACAATACTGCGTCGAGCGTATAAAACAACAAAAAGAAAATAAGAATGTATGTAAACTTGTCGATTAGAAGCAAAAAAAAAATCCTTCGAATCACTAACATATGTATATAGGAGTGACAAAAGAGAAAAATAATTCCGATTATATGAAGATGAGACATACCAAAATAATAGAATCATTAGTCAATTGGTTTGTAAATATTGATGAAGGTAGGATTGTATTTGACGTTGAATATTCTTTTGGAAGCTTTGAATTACTGATAGTAGAAGAAGACCTAGAATTTAAAATATCAATTAAATTAGTATCTGATTATTTTCTCTTTTGAATGACTGGATCTTTATTTGACTGTTATCTTCATATTTTCCCCAGTTTAATACTTGATAAATAATTATATTGAAGGAAAAAGTAGAGTCTTCTACGTCAATATAGGTAAATGATAGTCACGCTTTTAATTCAATATTTTATATATTGAAAATTAATGGTAAGATTTTATCCTTCAACTAAATGACTGACAAACCTGTCGTTGAAATTGAAAATATTTCTTTCTACAATATTTTACCTTTTTCTATTGACTTTGATCGTCTCTGGTTGTTATAGGAGCAAATAATTTTTTGAATTTTTTTGTATATTTATTCAGATTTTATTTAGAGAATTAGCTACATTTTTACGAGAGAATAATTCATAGAATTTTATCAGTGTAGTCATCTGAATAATTAGGAAATGAGTAAGACGGATGCACTAAGATGCAATTTATTGATATTTATTTCCTCAGTTTGATAATGCTAACGATCAAAAACCTTTCAATATTGATTGAAATTATCGGTTATACAATTCACTAATTGATGTCTATTAAAGTTACGAAGTATCTTTTTTTAAATATTTATTTAGAAAAAGGAACCTTGAGATGAGGTGCAAACGGTACGTTTTTCAATTAGCAGAAACAACGTAAAAGAAGTAAATAAATTTCAGTTTTATGAAGGAGTTCGAACTAGATTATACTTTAAAGAATCTTATTGTTTTGTAAAATATTATCTGATCTAAGAGATAGTTTTCTGATAAAAATTCTTGATGATAATATTTTTCTTTTAAACTTAAATATCTCGCAGGTAATATAAGAGAATGACGAACATTTTTACAAATCTATTCTAGTCTATGCTAGGAATGTCGCATTTGTTATACATCTATGTAGATCTTGCTTCAGTTATTAAGAATAAATCTATTCTAAGATATCCTAATATTCTGAGTACATATCCATTGAAGATCAAACTTTCTCCGAGATAGTTATAACTTTTATAACTATTCTTATTAGGGACCTGCACGGAGTCGCCGTCGAAGTCAAGTAAGTTTCATGTTAATAATTCAACTTTAACGTTAAAAATTATTTAAGCCCATAGTTTTGTTGTCCGACATATTCTCTATAAAATTACGTATTTTGAAGGATCGGCAGACGTCTTATCGAGTCTCACAAACCAAAATAAAATACAGAAAAAGTCGGAGTCGAAAGTGACTTCGACTTTTCTTTTGTGTTGGTGAGGTTCAACAAAGCATCGATCTATCCTTCAAAATACATAATTTTGTAGAGAAAATGTCGGACAACAAAACTATGAACTTAAATAATTTTTAACGGTAAAGTCGAATTATTGACATGAAATTCACTTGATTCCGTGCAGGTCTCTATTTCTCATTCTTTTGTTCGTATTAGCATGATATATAATTATCAACCGATAAAATATAGGATAAATTCACTTGAATCATTAGAGAAAGACAATAAACATACATAGATCGATAGATAGGCTCATTTTGTATTTTTGGTTCGGTCTTGATTGTAGTAATTAATGGACTAGAAGGTGGATTATCTAAAATAAATAGTTTTTTCGGTTAGTTTTCATCATTTATTAAACTTACTTGTTGGTACTGTTGTGGAATTTGAAACTGCTAAAGCTGAAGCTAGATTAAAAATAAATAAAAATGTTAATTTCTAATTACTGTTTATATTTAATCAAACCTTTTCGTTTCAATGCAAGTTGTTCTCTTATTTGTGCTAATGTACGTGTTTGTTGAACTACTTGTGGTGGTTTAATAGGAATTTCAGCTATGTTATTATGTTCATTGTGATTTACTTGCATTTCATATATTGGTGAAACAATTTTTTTATTCGAATCATCTTGAATATGATTATTCATATCATCAAATGATGGACTTTTTTGTATATCTGTTGAAACTAATGAAGACGTTGATCTGGATAAATTGGAATTTATTTTATCTTCTGAATTATTTCGTATTATTTTCATTTTGATTAATTTTAAAAAAAAGATTTGTTAATTAAAAGTAAAAATTCATCTCATTTGTTCATATCCCTTTTTTTCTTCTTTTTTGAGACAATACAAATAAATAATATCAGCGGTATCCATCAATTAACCAATCATATTAAAGAAAGAATCATGGTTAAATCATTTATGCATTTGGATAGAAGTGTTTTATATAAAATGGAAGATGTCAATGGAAGATTTTATTTTTTTTTGTTGTTTGAGAACAAAAAATGAATGTAATAATTTGATTGAATGAATGAAGAAGATGTTTCATGAGAAAAAATAATCTTTCTTATTTCTATTTCGTAAGTTCGTTGTTGGTAAACACGATTGTAAATCTGATAGGAATTTGTAAAATATTTCAAGAATTATCGTACAATTATAAAATTCATATTGATGTGTTCTGTTTGTAAATATAGTTCGAAAGATTTAAAAAAATGATTTCGAGTTTTGAGATTCTTAAATTAGTTTCTAACTGATTTCAACTAGTCAAGAAATTAAAGTAATTTCATCAGATGATAAGTTTTTGCAAGAATTGAGTACTATCTAAATATTATTTCTAGATTTCTATCATCAAACTTCGAATTTATTATGGCTACAAAAGGTGGTCGAAATCGTAATGGTGGTGGTGGTGGCAATCATTCGGATGATGAAGAAGATGATTTTCATAATAAATCTCAACAACGTCCACGTTCAACATCTCGTCATCATCATCATCATCATCGCAGTGATCGTCGTCATGTTCAACAACAAAACCAAGGGCCTCAACAACCTCATCATCAACAACAACAGCAACAACAACAACAACATTCATCATATGATCCAAATAAACGTCGAAAATTTGGTGGTGGTGGTCTTGAAGATGATGAATTAACTGAAGATAAATTACAAATGGCATTATTTGCCTTAGGACAAAAAAGTGATTCAACACTTGAACAAAATCTACGAGATTTATGTACAACATTATGTAATGATTTAACAAAACATAAAAAAGTTATTCTTCATATACTTAATCAATGTATCCAATTAATACCTGAACGTTTAACAATATATTCAACATTAATTGGTTTATTAAATGCATCTGTTATAACATTTGGTTCAGATTTTCTTGATACATGTATAAGTTCATTGAAAGAAGCATTAGTTTTATATAAATATGAAATAATTCAACGTTATATACGATTTTTATCTGATTTAAGTAATGTTAAACTTCTATCAACATCATCAATATTAACATTATATGAAACATTAATTGAAACAACAACTGAAACAAATGTTCCACAAGTTCGAACAGATTTTTTTGTATATTGTGTTTTAATATCATTACCATATTCGGGTAAAATACTTTCAGAAAAACATAATACAGAATTAAATCGTTTATTATATACAATTGATAAATATATTTATAAACGTTCGAAAATTCATGTACCGATTCTTCAAGTTTGGACATCAATTGAACCACATCCACAAGAAGAATATTTAGATTGTTTATGGGCACAAATCAAACGTTTAAATCAAGATGAATGGGCTGAATCACAAATATTTCGACCATATTATACATATGCTGATACATTATTTAGTGATATATCAGCTTCGATTGTTCATGATTTACCAACAATAACAATTCCATTACATAAAGATACAATTATTTATCCATTACCAAAAATTGTCTTTCGTATGTTTGATTATACTGATGTACCAGAACAATATGTCTTACCAGGTGCACATGCTATTGAAAGATATTTAGTTGAAGATGAAATATCAAATATTATACATACATATCATAATGAAAGAAAAGATTGTGCTATACAATTAACACAAATTCGACCAAAAGCTAAAATTCCATTAAATTATATGATTATTGAAGTTATATTTGGTCATTTATTTATGTTACCACGTCCACCACATGTGGAATTATTTTATGGTTCACTTTTACTTGAATTATGTAAATTACAACCTTCAACATTACCACCTGTATTAGTACAAGCTGTTGAAATGTTATTTGAACGTTTAAATACAATGAAAACATCATGTATTGAACGATTTGTTACATGGTTTTCATATCATTTATCAAATTTTCAATTTACATGGGGATGGCAAGATTGGATTGATTGTTTAGATGAAAATCCTGAATCACCAAAAATCAAATTTATACGTGAAACATTTCAACGTTGTATGAGACTTTCATTTCATCAACGTGTTATTGATTTTGTTCCTGAACAATTCTATAAACTTGTACCAAATAAACCATCACCAGTATTTAAATTTGAAGAAACTGAAACACCGATATTTGGTTCAGAATATGCACAATTATTAAATAAAAAAATAAAAGAACGTTCAGCAGCTGAAGATATTCTACGTATATTAAATACTGTACCAAATCCAACAAAAGATGATACAGCAGTAGTTACACCATCAGCATCAACAATTAATCCATCAACAACTGAATTAACTTATAATATGGTACAAATTGATTTATTTGTATCATCACTTCTCTGGATCGGATCAAAATCATTTACACATTCATTTGCAGCTCTAGCTAAATATCATCAATTATTTAAAATTCTTATTGAATCTGAAGAACAACAGATTCAAGTATTGAAATCAATGTATGAAATTTGGCCAAATCATCAACAGGTTAGTTAGAATTTTTATGGGTACGAATTAAATGATCAGTTGCTTTTCCTATAGTGTGGTCAGTAAATATATCCTTTCTGAGCAGTAAGTAATGTCGAATGTCAGTAATCACGATCAGGGTGTGGGTGCGGGTGTGGGTATGAGTGTTCATCCCTTATCCATCCATACCCACACCCAGTTTGAATTTTTTACTGATAATTCACAATAAAACTACTGATCGCTTTTAGTGATCATTTTGAATAAAAAACTGACCATTTAATTTGTACCCAATTTTTACTATACGTATTTATTGATTATTATTATTTTATTTTAGATGATGGTTGTTTTGGTAGATAAATTAGTGAAAACTCAAATTGTTGAATGTTCAGCAGTTGCTAATTGGATATTTTCAAGTGAATTAGGTTCTGAATTAACAAATTTTTATGTTTGGGAAATATTATCATCAACTATTGAAAAAATGAATCGTCAAGTTGAAAAACATCATAATGAATTATTAGATTTACGTAGTCAGTTAAATATTTCTACAACTATTCAATCAATACCAAGTTCAGCTATACCAATTGATATTACTCCTGCAAGTGAACCGGTGGTCACGTCAACGGAAGAAAAAGTATCCGATGAAAATAAAATGGATGAAAGTGAAACTCCAGTTAATGAAGAAGAAAAGCCTAAACCAAATAATTTAAAACGACGACGAGAAAGTGATGATGATGAAGAAGATAATAATGAAGAACAAGAATCAGCAGAGAAATTGCAAACCATGCAAATAACTCAACCACCAATGGATGAAGCAACAGCTAAATTACATGAAAAATATGAAATTGTTGAAGAACGTTTAGCACATGCACGTGAACAACAAAAGTAAAATATTTGATTTTCTTTTATCTATATTAACGAATTTATTTCATTTTTTAAAGGAAACTTTATTTAATTGTATTTCAACGTTTTATAATGACATTAAGCGATTTTTTAAATGAATGTGAAAGTAAAAATGTTGATCCTGTATCAACACCATGGCTTAAATGGATTATTGAACGTTTACAAGAAATTTTTCTTCTATATCACGAACAAGTTTTTCAATATGTATCAACATTTGAATCATTAATCTTTACATCGGATATTGATTTTTGTATTCTTGAAGTATTTCAACAATTCTGTGCTTTACGGGCTTAAAAACATGAAATGAACATAAATATTTCCTTGTTGTTTCTTTTGTTTCTCTTTTTTGTTTTGTTATTGTCTTTCGATATTATGTGTATTCAAACGAGATAGGAAAATATCTAAATATATATTGTGTATATGATGCACTAATCGAAATTAACTGTACGAATTCACATATCCACTTGATTATGAAACAATAGTTTTCTTAAGAATACATGAAAAGTCCATGGTTAGTATTACTCTTTGTGACATTTAAATCGAAAAAAAACTGTTACAAATTGATTTTTTTTGTTGAAGAGGAGATTGTATCGTTATTCAAGGCTGTCGATTTTATTTATGCATTAAAAGATAAGCGTTATCGTTTTTTTATTTGCAACATTGCATTTAAATATGTAATGAATTTGAAAATTTCTTATTTATCTTACTTAGATAATAATCATTTATATATATTACAGCTGAAAAAATACGAAGTTTTTCGAGGGTATTGTATTTCATCAAATCATCTTGATATCTTCCAAAGTCTTAAAACACATGAGAAAGTAATTTTTTAGTATTATGCAATCAGACATATATACAGAAACACAGGAGATAATTGACCGTAAAAATACACAATTTATGCCTGTTGTTTTTCCTTCATGTCTTGATGAGAACAAGACGATCCGCTACTATGAAATAATATAGAAATGAGTACTAACCTCTACGAAAGTGCATAAATTAAATGATGACAGATGATATATTATATTAAGGGTAACATAATTTGCGTTAAGACTGCAAACCTTCTAATAATAAATGTACTCGTATAAGTCAAATAAGTACAAAAGTTTATTCAATTTTTCTGTAAGATTTAGTGAATACAAATATTTCAAATACTTCCTTCTAGATTTAGTTAGAATAAAAATTGGTGATACTCAAGTTGGATTTATCAATTAATTTTCGTTTTGTATACATTATAAATGAGTAAATACTGCCGTCTAGTATTCTTGTTTGAAACTACAAGTTCATTAAAAACCGAAATTTTTGTTTTAAATTTGAACTGTATACCTCTGTGATACATATGTCATTTACTCGTGTTTAGATTCTCTTGAAATGTACTGCATATTTACATTTCTATTAGAATTTTGATAGGATATATTTCATTGTTTTACTTACTTATTGATCTAAATCTGATAGATACATTTATTTAGCAATGACATTCTGATATATAAGGTCCTTGCATATCATACATATATCATTTTTATCTTCTAGTCTTATTACATCATACAACTCGAAAATTTTTGCTTATCATCAGTTTTAATTAACTGATGATTGTATGTTATGTTTTTCTTTCGTTGATAGACGTAATAGAAGTAAATGGTTATGGTTCGTATTGAAAATATAAATAGATATAAGATTCTCTTAAAATTTATTAAGCTTTTTTTTTTGTATCTCATTAGGAGAAAATAATAAAGATATATATATATATATAAAGTTAAACACACATGTACAATGTAAGGAAGAAAAAAAAACATAAACAAATGTTTAAATTTCAATTGTTTTTTAAACAAATATTTTTCGATCATCCATTGATGATGATGATGATGATGTTGCTGGTGAATGTGTCGATGATGACATAATTATATTATTATTATGTGTAATATCAGACTTAGTCGAAAGACGAATAACTTCAAGTTGTGGATGATGACGTTCACCATTAGTGACAGATGATAATGGTGTATGTATATCTTGAGATTTTTTACCATTACATTTTGAACGATGATGAAGACGATAAGCAATATCAAATACTTGACCAAATGTTAACATGATCTAAATGAAAAATCTTTGTTTAATATATATATTCAATAAAACAATGAAATTATATACTTCAGTTGACATTGTTTCACTTTTAACAACAAATACATGACAGTAATGATGATAATCACTGCTTAATGATAATGATGGTGATGGTGGTGATAGTTGTTTATTATCGAGAGTAGAATTTGTAGTAACATGTGACATACCATTAGTAAGACGTTGTTCACGTGTAACATAAGCAAAATAACGTAAATCTTGATCTTGACATGCACAATGAATTGATTTGATATCATGAAAACATATAACATTACGATCTTTTGTATGTTTTAAAAATTCGACACCACGTGATGATATACTTAAACCAATTATTGGTAAAACACGTGCATATTGAGTTGATTGTTTTAACCTTGCAATAGCTTGTGATGGCATAGCAGTTGTACCATCATCTGACATTTTAATTGCTGTTGAACCTATAACAATAAATACAAAAAAATTATTTATTCTTATATTAGAGAAAACTATTCGGTAATAAACACAATAGTATGTATAATTAAATAGTCATTATATACGACATATGTATACAATCAATTAATACTAAATTGATTACTAATTTATTATTTATTATAATCAAAAAATTAATTTTCATTATAAAAGAATATGCTAATATGATAAAGTATTTTGAATGTCAATAGAATTATATATTTTATAAAGAGTAAGAGTCTTATTCTGACCTCGATTTAATTCTTAGTTTAAATATCATTAGTAGTTTCATAACATTTCTATTTACCTAAATAATTAACCCAATAAATACATGCTTGTTCACCAAGTAATCTTTCATGTATATGTGGCCATTTATAATGTAATTCTGTTTGATGTTGGACAGTTAAATGTGTGAGTGTATCAATATCATTAGTTGATGTTGTTTCATCAGTTGTTGTAATTGGCATTTTAGGTTTTTTTTCAAGTGAATCTGTTTTATTGGATGTTGATGACGATGATAAACTAGTAGAAGATATAGCTCTTTTAACGCATGAAGTAATATTTATTGGTTCATTGGATGCTGTTTGTACACCTTTTTCTTCGGATGATGTCGATGATAAACAATCATCAAGATTATTCAATGATTTACCAGTCATTGTACATGTTGAAATTTTTACTGTAGACATATCAAAATTTTGATTGGGTTTTTTTGGTGAAATTTGTTGTTTACAATCATAAAATGGTTCTTCAAATGATGAAGATAAAGATTGTTGCCGTTGCTGATGTTGAAGAAGAGATATACTTGAATGGCACTGACGACGTGTACGAATTGCTTCAGCATGATCTCGTAATATAACTGTCGATGATGATGCTGATGATGATGATGAATGAGATGAAGATATAGTAGATATTGGTATAGTTGAAGAAGATATAAGTTCTTGTTGTTTTTCTTCATTGTCTTTTTCTGTTATAATAACATCCATAGTTGATGGAAGAATGACAGACGCCTGTTCACTGTTGTTATTATCGTTAGGTAATAATGATGATGATACTGAACAAGAAAAAGAAAAGAAACAAATTGTAACGCTATTTGTTTGACTGGAATATAGAATGATTGACATCGACAGTCGTTATTCTTATTTCTTACTTACCGTTTTCGTCTTGATCAGTTTTGTCATCCTGATTAACTTTATATTCATCAATGACAGCTAATGGTTGAATAGACGATAGAATTTTATGTTTATCAATATCATTCATTGTCGATGAAATTGGCTTAGTCCAATAACGATTTGATGATAATGAGGATGATGATGATTTAATTAATTGATAATCGTCCGTTGAACTTTCGTCTGTTGAACAACCAGCTAATTCAATACAAATTGAATTACGTAGATTATTATTATTATTATTATTATTATTATTGTTAATATTTTGATTTTGATTTTGATTTATAAGTGATTGTAAACGTATTTGAGGACATACCATAGAATTTGAACGTTTAAGAAGAATAACGCCAATATTATTATTATTTGTTATTGATGATTGATGAGAAGGAACGATATGATCAGTGCCTGTAGACGATCGATAATTACTTGAATCACTACTTATATTAAGTTGAGATGAATAATTTTTTCGTCGAAATAAGTTTGCTCGATATTTAAGACGATTAAATGGTTCAACAAGCTTTTTACTTGAAGATATCGGAATTGCTGTGGCCTAGAACACACAAAAAAATTTGGACGTCACTTAGTTAATGTGTGCAATTGCATGATGGAGCAGTATGATATAGTTTGTAGTACGTGTAGGAGTACTTGTATGCACCACATATACAAAGAACAATGATAGGGAGCACGCGCACAAAGAGAGAACGGTGGAAGGTTATCTTTTATGACACGCGCACACATTTGTACGGTAGTTTTGCCATCGCTCCACCCTTCGATGTCGCTTTCATCTAAAGGCTCAACATATACACGTATGAGAAATAAAGGCAAGATGAAAAAACGATGAAAGATGGATCGTCAACGTCTCTTTTTTTCTCTTTCTGTTATATATATGAGCATTCGACCTTGACAATACATACAATTGATGCTTCTTATTTACCCATGGAAGGCAGAAAAAGATGATATGATACATACCATATCGATTAGTTTCATGATTTATATAACTAGAATGACTCATTCGATAACTAGACGATGTTCAAAATTCACTGACCTTTTTCTTCTTGTATTATCAGACGTTTCTCCTTTTATTTCTTTCACTCATCTAAATCAAATCGAACACTAGTGAATATTTGAAATTCTCAATTTTTCAAGAGGACTTCATTTAAATAACAATACTCTTATAAAGTTACATATTTATCTTTTCTGACTAAGAAAAATAATATTAAATTCGAACAATCAAAATTTAACAGTTCTTTCTTAATAAATAAAAAAAGAAAGCATCAAATATTAGCTAGATCATACCTTTATTATTGGACGACCTGCAGATCGATTAAAATCAGTACATGATGCCATTAAAAATGATCAATAAAAATCTAAAAAAAGCAAAATAAGAAATGATTGACTGTTGTCCGCTTAAATATATATACATATGACGAAAAAACATGATATATAAAATTACCATTGAATTGCATTCAAGCAAATATATGGCGATACTTTCGTTTTTTTTTTATTCTTTCGCTTATACTTTGAAATTTGATTCAATAGAACTGTTAACGTTCGTCTGTCGAATACAATAAAGTTTATGATAAAAAATATATCAAAACTAAGGTCAACATTCTTCTTTATATACAATCAAAATGTGTGAACTGACATACAAAAATAAGATCAAAAGAAATATGGATAATACACATAAGTGTAAAATGAAAGTCAATAATAAAAAAAATCGAAAATTCTATTTAAGAAAATTTGAAAAAAAAGAAAATATTTTCTCACAATTTTTTTTTATAATATCCTTACCGTCTAGACACATCAACAACAAATGTAAATCTATGAGCTTCAAGCACGTAAAAACAAAGATGACACTATTTGAATCGAATAGTTTCGTTTTTCTTCTCCTTCCTTACATACTATGCATACATATTCTCCTATGTATATATGTTTTAAAAGACACTTGAGAAGACGAAATGGTTTTGTCCTCAATGGACAATGTACAGTATCTTTCTTCGTCTTCATCATCTTTTTTCTTTTTTGCCTTCTATGTCTGTCTCATTTGTTGAGGATTAACAAGAAAAAAAAATGATCGAGAACACCAGTAATAGTATAACTAGGAAGATTACAAATAGAGATCAATGTATTAGATGATGCACAGAAACATACGCGCACTTACTTACTGATTGATTAGACAAAAATAGATTAACTTTCCATTATGACAGAACAATACTGTCATAGAATGAACCAAATAAAATATATTTATCAAATTTTATGATTAATGTTTGAGTAAAAGAATCTATATACTAACATAATGAAATTTGATTATATCATCAAATGTCTATAGAAATTCATTCAATTAAAATCATATAAATGAATATGTGAGGTGTTCAAGTTTTACTTTCATTTAATATAATAAAAAAAAACGTTCGAAACTATAATATGAATAGGGTGGTGCATTTTGGTCACATCTTTAAAAAAAATCAAATACATCGATGAAATAAATAAATAAGAAAATATTGCGCATTTATATTCTTCATCGTATTAATTGTGTGTATAAATTAATGTATTACAAGGACAAAAAATTTTAATCGTAAAGAATAACATAGAAACCTGATTTTTTTATGCTTATTAATCGGTCTTGTTTATTGTTGATTTGCTTTTTCTTATCATTCATTGAGTAAAAAGAAAAATCAAATTTAGAAGATTGTCGAAACTAATAAGTTCTAGATAAACAAAATGAAGTCCACAAAAATAAATTACAAAATCATATATATAATAACATGCGATTTTTCAGTCATCACTATTGAGTTAGATTTAAGATGTTTATCAGTAAAACGTGACATTTCAAATACGAGTCATTGATTTTGTGCTCTTATTAAGAAAAGTTTTTTTTTCACTTTTACAATAAGTCATATAGAGATAAGAATTTCAAATATTATAAAAAATGAACCT